GGCATTGAACCTTGTTACTGTCAAGGATCGGTTTCCCATTCCAACAGTCGACGATATGTTAGACGAACTCCACGGCGCAGCGTACTTCACCAGGCTCGACCTCCGGGCAGGCTATCACCAAGTCCGTATGCATCCCGCCGACGTGGCCAAAACAGCTTTCCGGACTCATAACGGCCATTACGAGTACCTCGTAATGCCCTTCGGCCTTTGTAACGCACCGTCCACTTTCCAGGCCATCATGAATGACATCTTTTGGCCATTGCTTCGCAAGTTCGTGCTGGTATTCTTCGACGACATATTAATTTACAGTCCAGACAAGGAGCTGCATCTCAAACACGTGAGGCAGGTTTTTCAAATCTTGCGCCATCATCAATTCTTTGTCAAGTTCAGTAAGTGTGCTTTTGGCATGAAGGAAATAGAATATTTGGGTCACTTCATTTCGGCTGCCGGCGTTCACGTCGATCCTCGCAAGATCGCCGCTATGATCGAGTGGCCAACCCCGGCATCCATCACCGAACTACGTGGATTCTTAGGACTCACGGGGTACTACCGCAAGTTTGTTCGCGACTATGGAATCATTGCCCGGCCGCTGACCAATCTACTGAAAAAGGGCAATTCAGCTGGACGACCGATGCCGACTCAGCATTCCATGCTTTGAAAACGGCTATGACGACAACTCCAGTCCTAGCTCTTCCGGATTTCACACAACCCTTTGTCGTTGAGACTGACGCTTCCGGGTCAGGCATCGGCGCGGTGCTTATGTAGAATGATAGACCGATCTCGTTTCTTAGCCGCGCTCTCGGGAAATCCAGGGAGGGCCTCTCAACCTATGCAAAAGAGATGCTTGCCGTGGTTACAGCTGTTCAGAATTGGCGTCCCTATCTCTTGGGTCGCAAGTTCATAATTCGCACGGATCAGAGAAGCTTGAAGCATCTTTTGGGCCAGCGAATTACTACACCTGAACAACAGCAGTGGCTCTCTAAGTTAATGGGCTATGATTATGACATTATTTACAAGCCTGGCCCACAAAACCAAGCTGCTGATGCTCTCAGCCGTCGGCCACACACGGCTACCGCGTTGGCGCTTTCTATACCCTACATGACACTTTGGGACTCCATCAAAGAGACGTCTTCTTCCCATCCATATATGTTGAAGATGCGGCGCAAGGCTTCCTCTTCCTCCCCAGGTACCTTCACTCTTCGGGACGACATGTTGTATCGGCGCGGCAGGATCGTCATTCCACCTAACTCTCCTCATGTGGGTCAGCTCCTCCATGAGTTTCACGCCACTCCATTAGGCGGGCACTCAGGAATCGAACGCACATATCGGCGTTTGGCAACTCACTTCTACTGGCCGGCCATGCTCGAAGATGTCAAGCGGTTCGTTCACGCTTGTGATGTGTGCCAACGCGCCAAGGCACAGTCTCTTTTACCGGCTGGCCTTCTTCAGCCTCTTCCCATTCCGACCCAGGTATGGCAGGACATTTCAATGGATTTTGTCGATGGCCTTCCCTCTTCCGGCGGCAAGACTGTGCTCCTCGTCGTCGTTGATCGCTTAACCAAATCGGCGCACTTCCTGCCTCTGTCTCATCCATATACGGCGAGGTCGGTGGCTGATACGTTCTTGGCAGGAGTGATCAAGCTCCATGGTTTGCCGCGTTCCATCGTTAGTGACCGCGATCGTGCTTTCACCAGCAAGTTTTGGCGTGAACTGTTCCGGCTATCGGGAACACAGCTCCAACTGTCGTCCTCTTACCATCCTCAAACTGACGGTCAGACGGAGGTAGTAAATAGATGTGTTGAACAATATCTCCGATGCTTTGCCAGCCAGAACCCACGCCGCTGGCTCTCGTACCTTCCTTGGACGGAATTCTGGTATAATTCCACGTTTCATAGCTCGGCAGGTATGACACCCTTCCAAGCTCTATATGGTCGAATTCCCCCTTCCATTCCTTTCTACAGGCCAGGTTCAACTTCCGTCCATGAGGTGGACAGAGCACTTTTGGACCGCAACGCGATCATGACCGAGCTCCAGTCCAACTTATCGGCTGCTCAAAATAGGATGAAACAACACGCCGATACTGGTCGCCGTGATCTGGTCTTCCAGGTCGGGGATCCGGTCTACTTAAAGCTCCATCCATACCGGCAGCATTCGGTCTTCCGTCGAGCTTCACAAAAGCTGGCTTGTCGCTACTACGGGCCTTACCTCGTCACCGAGCGTATTGGCCCCGTGGCCTACCGCCTTGATCTTCCGCCGGGCAGTCGAGTTCACCCGGTGTTTCATGTTTCTCTGCTCCGGCCCTGCCACTCCCCTGCCCCAGCCATCTCCACTGCCATACCACCAATCGGCGATGATGGGGTGCTCTCCTTGGTTCCTCAGGCCATATTGGAGACTCGATGGACTCGCTGTGGCAATCGCCTAGTTGAAGAACTCCTTGTTAAATGGCAGCAGCTCCCTGAAGACGAGGCAACATGGGAGTTAGCATCGGTCTTCAATGATCGCTATGTCCAACTCGGCCTCGAGGACGATGCCGCTGCTCAACGGGAGGGTAATGATGGGCTGCAAACCTCGACACCAGCTGGGCCTAGACGTTCGGGTCGCCTTCGCCAGCCCAACACTCGCTTCTTGGATGCTTAATCGGAGAAGCACGTTTCCAGTAGCTTGCCATGGATTTCGTTTATTGTTAATTGAACTGGTCTTAGTAGCTGTTAGATGAATAAGCACAATCCCACCTTAAGTGGACGTGCAGTTAGTAGCTCAGCACTTGTAGGCTTTTGTTATTTCTGTTATTGTTCTTATAAGCGTTGGATTTGGAATGAAAGAGGCGGGCATTATTTCAGCAAAGAAACATCTGGTTCTTCTCACCAAGAAACGAGAAAACACTGGCTCAATCCCGCCAAGAAAAGGGATCCCTACATTCGTACAACTTCGATCCGTACCAGTTTGGAAATTGAATCTCCATTAACATCTCCCAAGATGTGGAGGTGCCATAAACATAAATGATACATTGTGGTTTTAAACACTTCTTTGATTGTCTTAGCCAGAGCAACATCTTGGTATGTGAAGATAATCACATACTCTTTCTATTGATAGCTACTGTTTCTCGGGATACAGTCAAGCCCATGCAAGTATGTACACTCCATTTTTCTCTCCCCCTCTTCCCTACTCCCTATAGTTTCGTGTCCATTCACACATCATTTTCCACTCGACGACTATCCAAGTAGATGTTCGATTATCTTGCTTGGTTTATTGTTGATGTGATTGCATGCATAAGACGAGGACTAACTTTAAAAGTTATATTCTCAAACCCGACTTTGTAGGTGGATGAGACTGGACACGGTAGTCCCTCACAATTGATCATCAATCAATCAAACTGCGCCGACTTCATCAAGGGAAATATCCATAGGGTCACCATCCTTGCCTACTAAATAAGGTAAATGCCATATCGTATGGTAGGAATATACCCAACAAGATTCAAACTGCTCAAATGTATCCAAGATCAATTGTTGATTCTTGGTTGTATGTAGGGGTGTTTTTTATGAATTCACCTTAAAATGCTTATTGTATCGAGATCCCTATGCATGAGTGGATGTGTCAGGAATGAAGTTTATGCATACATGTGCCTTGAATACAACACACATTTGGAAGAAACCTTATTGCATACCTTGACATATGGAATCCATATGTGGACTCTCCCACATGTCTCGCTAAAGCATGGACCCATGATTAGTATCGTTAGAGGGAAGTGGCAAAATAGGAGAATAGTAAGAGGAGACATCCATTGTGGTTTCTCAACCTTGGAGGCACCTCACATCCACATTCTCTTTTTAAAACCACTGTAGAACTCATCCCTCATCACCTGAGTAAGTAGTTTGAGAGTCCCTAGGGGATACGATCACTCGAAGTAGGTAAATTTGGATTTGTAGTACATTCGATAAGAGGTCCATCGTTCTCGAGCTGGTATTCTTCTTACTCAACAAAAGTATGTTGATGATATTATAGACATGGCTCATTATTTTGATTGTGTTCTAGTTACTACACCATTGGAGCTTAATATGAAGTTGGGAAGGGAAACAAAGTATCTATTGCCTGGTGGTGGCGAACAGTATCGCTACATTGTTGGTAGCTTGATTTATTGGACTTCGACATAACCAGATATCTCTTATACTGTTCAAGTTGTCAATCAATTCATGTATGCTCTTCGTAATACCCACCTCGACATTGTTCATAAGATATTACGATATCTACAGGGAACACATGGAGTCGGTGTCTTCCTACCCCTTGACATATTAGTATGAAAAGCAAATTAATTATCAAGCATCTAAGTAATCATTTGTGCAATCTTTAGTAGTCATATATATTTCTCTAGGCACACCACGGAGTGACTTAAAATGTTTAACATCGTTTTTTTATACTTAGAAATTTTAAACAATGGCAATTGATCAATGCATTTTTTTGAAAAATTCGCCGTGAAACTAAACAAGCCAATCAGCTAATGGAATAGTACCATGTATAATAATAATAGTTACAAGATTTTGGCGTATAGTTGACAGACGCTAGATACTATTGTTTATTTGTTAGATCTTTTCAAACATGTGAACACTATCTTGATACTAATACTATATGTTGAGTAAAAGAAACCCTAATACACAATTGACTGTCGTAACTCAGAGTAATTCCATCGCCGCGCTTTCACCGCGCCACCATTCAGCAATACCAGGATGTTGGCCGGTAGGCTACAAGCGAGTCTTGTGTTTAAATGGCGCGGCGTCTAATTTTTAACTCCTCGCAGCCCGCACTCGCGGATCCAAGTCCGCCCGTCCATCCAGCCCCCACTCGCGTATCCTGCCCGCCCGTTCAAGTGCTGCAGTTCGCCAAGCCCAACATTGCACTAAGCGAGTCAAAAATATTATTGCCGCCGCCAGTACTCGAACCAACGCCACTTCTCCACCAGACGTACAAGTTAACCAGCAGACTAAAGCGCTTCGTTATTACTAAAAGCGCAAGCGCCCTATTTATTCACTCTGACTCGCCTCAACAGCAACGCGCAATATGGGCTCTCGGGAAACTCGCGGCCCACCTCACCGCCTGTCTCGTGCCACATGTGGTAATGCCCAACTAGAGCTCGTGGCCCATCACGTCACACTGAACTGCCCCAGCCCACTCGCGGCTATAGCCCGCGCGCTATGAACTCGCGGGTCAGCCCCTAAACCGAGCCGCCACTTCGGCGCAACGAAGCCCGGAAGTCCAACTCCAAGTTCGCGGCCCACTCACGAAAGATGGGCAGCAAACCACTTGCGGGCCTGCCCGGGCACGCCAGCCCAGCTCGGGCCCGCTCCCAAGCCGCACGGATGGGCCGCCGCCAGGCTCAGCCCGCGCAGATCCTCAACTCGTAGCTACTCATTACATCCGGCCGCTTCGCCAAAGACCCGCGCCCCAACCTTGCATCTGGCGGCCCGCACAACTAGCTCGCTCGCGTTCCCCTGCCCACCAAGTCCAAGCTCCGCTTCGCATTAAAAATATTTTCGTTGCCGGCAACACTTGAACCCGCGCCACCTCTTTGCCAAACAAGCAAGATTGCCAGAAGGCTACATGCGGACCGTGTGTTTCAATGGCGCGGCGTCTGATGTTTAACTACTCACGCCCACTCAGTTCCACGGAACAAAAAGTCGCAATAGTCACGAACTATTCGCGCCCGCTCAGTTCCACGGATAAAAAAAAAATAGCAATAGTCATGAACTATTCGCGCCCACTCAGTTCCACGGAACAAAAAGTCGCAATAGTCACGAACTATTCGCGCCCACTCAGTTCCACGGAACAAAAAGTCGCAATAGTCACGAACTATCCGCGCCCACTCAGTTCCACGGAACAAAAAATAGCAATAGTCACGAACTATTCGCGCCCACTCAGTTCCACGGAACAAAAAATAGCAATAGTCACGAACTATTCGCGCCCACTCAGTTCCACGTAACAAAAAATAGCAATAGTCACGAGCTATTCGCGCCCACTCAGTTCCACGGAACAAAAAATAGCAATAGTCACGAACTATTCGCACTCACTCAATTCCACGGAACAAAAAACAGCAATAGTCACGAACTATCCGCGCCCACTCAGTTCCACGGAACAAAAAATAGCAATAGTCACGAACTATTCGCGCCCACTCAGTTCGACGAAAAAAAAATGATGATGACAGAGAGGAGAGCCCAGCCGCTACTCTCCTGAGTCACCCGTATCCATTTTCACCGTGCCAGCCCACACTCGCGCGGCCCAGGCCCCCGCCCAACTCCATCTCGTGGCCCAGGTCCCGGATCGCGATCTGCGCCGCTCCTCACGCGCACGGGCCCTTTCGCGGCTCTCGGCCCGCCACAGAACTGCGACCATTAAGTCAACAAAAAAGCAGGGTTGGGAAGATTCGAACCCGTGCCCCTGAGTTCACAACATCAGCATTCATACCAATGCGCTACATCAAAAGCTTACGCATCAAATGCGCGACACTTGAATTTATTACTCTTTGCCGCCACTGCGCGAACATAAAGCTAGCTAAGGCTCACTCTTCACCACTAAAGCGTCTCGGGACCATCAGCTCGCGGCCCTCCAACGAAGTCGCCCGATCCGCTCCGCGTCAAGCCCCGACCCACAAGGCAACCGCGCCAAGTCCAACTTGGTCTCACTACCCGCGTCAAAAATATTATTGCCGACGCCAGGAATTGAACTCTCGTCCTTCCTCCGCCAGACAAATAACATCACCAGTAGGCTGCACACGCGCCTTGTGAGCCTTAGACGCAACACTCTTATTTTAACAACTCTTCGAGCCGCTTCGCCAACATAAAGCTAAGTACTCTGTCCCTCTATCATTATTAAATATTGAAATATTTTACTTTACTGAGCGTTAATGGCGCTAATGGGGGGCTACACGCCTTAATGGAATACACGAACTGGCGGGCAAGACGCAAGAAGCTGGCACCGCATCAGTGAAACGCGCCACCAGCTGGGGGACAACTGGGGTACATAGGGCTCCACCCAGAATTACCGACGAAGATTTAAAAAAAATATAAATATATATATAAGCTAGCGATGAGTTAAAACTCACCACCAGCTTGGGGGGCAATTGTTGGGGGTGTTACTAAATACTTCGTGCACAGACTAAGTAGTAGAGCGCACAATCGGCAATGGCAACACTCGGTACCCGCTACAGGTATATAAGGGCTTGAAGCCCTCCAAAGAGGGGGACTTCTTCTCTCTCCTCACTTTCCACTCTCTACTATCTCCCTACACTTTATCTCTCTATCTATTCTCTCAACTCTCTTCACCTTAAACATAAACTGACTTGATCGTCGGAGCTTAATCCGGGGGGCAACCCCCGCTTTTTCACAGGTTCTCTCCCTCCCGACGAGATCAGACGAACGGATGATGAGTCGACCCACACAACAAATATCATTGTTCATACCGAAGCTAGATGGTACAAACAATTGATATGGGCAAGGTGATCGCTAACCGCTAGGGGACGCAAATATGGTCGTAGACCACGCTCATGATTGCTAAACCAAGGCATGCATTATAGGCTGTCACTAGGCCCTCTCGGTTTAGGAAATCAATGGTTGACTTACTCCCTCACTCAACCCAAGGGTTGGACGGCTTAATCGCGCTTAACCAAATTTCTTAATCCAATATTGAGGTTTGCCCTAAATTAACCTAGTTAGAAGACTTAAATAGCCCTAGGGATACCAACTCAATTGAGACTCCCTTGGAAGGGGGGGTTTCCCTCTCTAGTCTAGGTTAAGTGGCTAATTAGATTGCTAAGCATAGACATGCACAATCCTTAGGTTGCTAAGCACCAATCATGCACAAACCTAACGATGCTAAGTACAAACATGCACAATCAAGATGAATAATACCTCAAACATTTGAATTAAACAATACCAATGACAATCATTCAATTCACATAAAAGAAAACTACATGGTAGAGTTAGGGTTTCACAACACCCAAGTGAAAAGAAATCTACTCCATGCTAGAAATTCGAGAAACTCAAGGAGAAGAGGTAGAAACCATCTTGGAGGAGGCTTCCAATCTTCGGCCCTTGTGTTGAACTTTCCTTGGAGAAAATCTTCCCAAAATCCACCTTGGAGCAAAACCCTAGCCGCCTTCTTCTTTGGTTCGTGTTTCTCTCTTTAGAAATTAGAAGAAGGCTTTCTCACTCAAGTGGGCTCTCCCCTCTCGCTTCCTTTCAGCTCAGCTTTTAAACAGTGAACGGTCTAGGTTCACGGCCGTGAACTCTGAAACGCGTCTGTGAACCGAAGATGGGTGCCGAAACGCACCACTTTGCTTTCACTGTTCACGGCCAACCTCTCATGTTCACGGTCTTAGCGACCGCGAACTCAATTGGCGTCAGTAACTTGCATTTTGGATCTGGACGCCTCAAAGTTCACCGCTAATGGCTCTTATTCACGGTCATACAAGACTCTGAACAGCCAAGGAAAACCGTGAACTCGCCGTTTTTCACCTCTTCTCCCGGTTTTCACTCCTTTTTGTCCAACTTTCAACTCCGAGGCTGGTTTCACCTGTTAAATCCTGAAACACACTAAAACACGAGAAACCTAGCATAAAACCAACCTTTTAAGAGCGAAGTTGCCACAAACGACTAAGGAAAACGGGGGGAAAACATGTACAATTAGGCCCGAATCATAAATGGATGCATCGCATCTCTGCCTTCATTCAAAACCAAACGGGGTTCAGAGATCCCCTGACTTTTATACAAAATCCAATAATGTAACGCAGGATCGGAAACTGAAACACAGTGGGTGCCTAAGGGCATAGAATGCCCGCGGTTGCAAGAAAATCAGCACAATTGTTACCCTCGCGATAGGTGTGATGTATCGTCACCTCCCAATCAAGACGGAGGAGCTCGGAAAACCTATGGATGATGGTTGCATGTTGATGATCTGACGCGTCCGGCGACGAGAGGAGCTGAACTGCACACTGAGAATCCAAGTCTACTCTAATTCGGTGATGTTCGAGGTTCCAAGCCAACTGAAGACCTTCCACAACGCCTCTCAACTCTGCCCGGGTAATGGTACACATACCCAGGTTGCTAGCGACTGCTGCCAAGCAACATCCTGTATGATCTCGTAACAAACCACATGCAGCAGCGTGGTTTGTGTCAGTATGAACGAAGCCATCCGTGTTGAGAGGAACCCACTTGGGAGGTGGTGGCTTCCATGAGATATCCACCTCCGTTCTTATGGGTTGACTAGACATATGGGTGAGCCTGTCCTTGTCCATGGCATTCCGCACGTCATTTATCCAAGCCACGATGCACTGTAGAAAGTCATCAGTTGAAGTGATCTTGCCCGCGAAGACTCAATCATTCCTGATCTTCCAAAGAGACCAGCAGGTAATACCAAACTCAAGGCAGTGATGCTGATTCTTGATGTTGGTCAGGAGCCAATCTTGCAGAATCATTCTGAAAAATGTTTCGTGGTCAGAAGGCTGGATGAGATGCAACCAAGTTAACCTGGAAAAGTGACAGTCCCGCCACACATGCATGGCTGTCTCTAGAGCTTCCCGACCGTACGTGCACATGTTGTCTATTGTCAAATGTCTCCGCTGCCGTTTTCTGTTGGTGAGTAAACGATCTTTGGGTGCTAACCAGAGGAAGAGGTTGACGCGAGCTGGGCCTCTCCACCGCCAGAAGGTCTTCCAATCCAGTGCTAATTCGTCGAGTTATGCTGCGATTCGGTAGGCGGATTTAACGCGAAACCGTTCGTCACTCTCCGGTCACAGACTGCGAGGTCCTCCCCCAAGTCACTCCTAGGTGGTTGGATGCCCACTACCTACAAAACCATATCATTAGGAAGAAAGGTTTGTAGGAGGGGAATGTTCCACTCACCACTCAGCAGAGTAAAGTCCGCCACTGCCTGGGAAGGATCGATGGTTTGGGCAGATTCATGAACATGATTAATCAATCTTTCTCCGCTGTCAAGCCATCTATCCATCCAGAAGTTAGCATCTATTTCTCACCAAATTTAATCATGATGCGAGTTACATTTATCGCCAGATTGATTCCAATTACATTTACCGCCAATCTATCCATGTGGGTTGGGTGAATTTTGGGGTGAGTGTGAATCATGATTAAATTCACCCACTTAGCTGTGGATGAGTACATATATACTCAAAATTTGCCCAACCTCCCATCCAATTCCCATCCCTCATTCAACTTACAATCAAACAACTCTCCTCACTCTATAAGAAATGTAACCAAACAAAGTCGGTAACTAATCTCCCCACCATCGACACCTCCTCTCCGACAATCCGCGTTTGCGGCATGGACGAGCAGCATGTGGCACAACTGGGAACTCATTTGGCTAGGTGGCAAATAGATTAGATCAATGGATTGGTGGATTCATGGATCAAGTGGATTGACCTAACCCATCGGATTTCGGGTCGGGTTATAGGTCGTTTCAGGTTATGAGCGGTCTCAGAAGCAATATCAGACATGCTTCATAATTTTTTTTAAAGAACAAAAATCTTCACATATGCATGACAATAGTTTACCTAATATATGTCAATTAACATATTCTCAAATCCGCCCATGCTAATGAAATGAAATACAAATCGTCAAAAAGCAATAACAAGTGTAATACTACTACAAGAAACACATGATATTTGATTATCCGTAAACTCCAAACATGTCTTTCAAATCTTTGTGAATTTTTTTAAACATCTCACCAATTTATAAGTGATTTTATCATTTTTGGAGTAATATATGAAATGGAATGAGTCTATCGAGTCGACCCACTAATCTACCCAACCCGACCCAAAAACACAGTTTAATCGAATTCGAATCATTCGGATTTCAAATTATAAAAGCATCTATTTTTCGGGCGAGTTCGGGTGAACTGATCTGACTTTTAATTTGACCGTTCTACTTTTGGCACATGGCCGATCAAATTTTGTTTGTTCCAAATTCCAATGTGCCGTGGAAAAAAAGCAGATTGCGTTTGTTCCAGGTAGAGAGGGAAGTGTTTTTTTTATTTTATTTCTCAAAGTGATAAGGACAAAAAGATCCAAATTGTAATTTTGATATTGTCCAGGACGATACTAATTTGAAGGACGACATTTATCAATTTCCTAAACAAAATTGAGGGACTATCGAATCTCTGGTAGTAGTTTAAGTATGCAAAAAATGAAGAAAAAAGTGATCATCTATGTTTCAAAAGCGGTGACATTGTAATTATTATTGGAGTGGGCCCCGACTATTTGACCGGAGGAAGGTGAAGTATGAAATTTGATAATGTAATGGAGTATATAGCTTATTATTGTATATTTTTTTTTTTTGGGAAATACGTGATAAAAATAGTGAATTTTAGTAGGAAAGAGACATGAATGATGCAACGAATCAAAAATCAGCCTTATGAACCAAAATCAAGTACCTGTTACATTGTGAAACAATATTGTTTCTGGTAATATGATGAGGTGGAGTAAGTTTTATAGAAACCGAATTCCAGAAAATCGAATAAAAAATCGCCTATCCCGCCGGTTTTCGGGAAATGAGCATCTCACAATCGTTGCTAGCTTTTACTCGGCCCATTGGCCGATTAATTTGCTTTATAAAACTTTCATCTTATAATCATTGTGCTTTCTGGTTTTTTGCCAAGCCATGATAAAATCTAAAGAAATCAAGAATGAACAATACGATTTGGGATAGGAACCACCGTTCCTGTATCCCTAGAAAATGGTGGTAAACACGGACTCACCTGCCAAACTGGTTTGGATTGAGATTTTTATCGGGTATCAGGTAACCACGTGATTATAAATTAGACTTGATCAAAACGGCCCAAAACTTGAAATTCAGCCTGTTTGACCGACCCATGCCAAACTCTAATTGTTCTTTACTTTTAAAGTTTCTATTTGAAAATAAAAAATAATGAAAGAAAAGAGATGATTGCAATTCGCCATTTGCACATCCCTGATTCGGGTATAAAACTATAGAATTTTGAAAGGAAACTGAAAAATATTTAGGATCGTTTTAATGTTAAAAATAACCAAATAGATCTTTCTGTTTAGTTTTTTACTAACAAATACCAAACGATTCCCAATAATATACACTATAATTTAATCATTATGATATCAAATAATTACATAATATATATTTGAAATGATAAAAATTGGACTAATTGGGTTGGTCGAGGTTGAACCATTGAATAACTTTAAAATACATTATATTTTAGCCACTAAGATATAAAATAATAGCATAATATATATTATCCTAGAGAAAATAGCTTGTTTTAGAATGGCAAGCCCATGATGTTCATTTGTTTTACTTGATGGGCAAATCCCGTGTAGGTCATAACCAAATGAGAAAACTTGAAGCCCCATTTCAAATTTCCTGCATCAAGAGTGAAAGTAGGAAGGACATTTTGGTTCATTTTTTTAATGAAAAAAAATGGGGCTTCAAGTAATTGTGAACCTAAATATCCTTCCTACTTTCACTCTTGATGCAGGAAATTTAAAATGGGGCTTCAAGTTTTCTCATTTGGCTTTTATTTATTATATCGATTAAATATTTTTTTATTAAACCAAAATTCATTTGTTGTTCTAATTTTAACATAAATATAATTATAACCGTCCAACACAGCCGATCCTTTCGACGTTATGAAAGACAAACATATTCTTGGTGACAAATTTTGGTTTAAGATTAACGCAATCCCGATGACGGGATTCCAGCGTCCTTGAAATGGTAAGCAGAAGCGGTATTGGACCATCGTTAATCCGTGTACAATTTGATCATAAGGGTAGGGGCAAGAACAACATCAATGCACTTAGCTTTGATTGTTGAAACTTACAATCACGCCAGCTTCGGTCTAAAGCTCTTAAGAGATCAATGAAAATAGTTTGAACTTTGTTTACATGACTCGTTATTACCTCACTCTCTCCCCTCTCCAGATTTTGCATCAGAGTAATAGTATACTTAACTTCAAGAAGCTATGTTTCATTCAGCTTCTCTCGTAGGTAGGGATAGGCACCCCAAAGTCGTGGGTGAGATTCTTGTAAGCTCGTTGAATCCTCTTCGTGACGCTCCCCACTTGGCCATCACCAATTTGGCGTCCATCGATCTTCACCACCTACAAGCATATCGATTTATTTGTATCCATGAGATGACCATTGCTCTACCGAAAAGACGGTTTCAGAGACAACAAAAAAAAAAAGTACCTACTTACCGGGGTAATCTCCCCCATTGTTCCAGTGGTCCATACCTGTGACGCAAGTTACCAACAAACACTCGCCGTTTAATCAACGAACAACGAACCCCAGATTCTAAAATTCATAAATTTAAAGCATTTCAACCGTAACGAGTTTAGTTTACCTCGTCTGCTGTGTGAAACTCTGAAAGGCTGATCCTTCGCTCCTCTAATACGACTTTCTCCTCGACCACAAGATCCATAACCTTTTGGAATGTTTGACGATTATTTTCAACATATTTGGCCTCAAATAACACACAATCCATCCTTAATGCTTAAACATAACTCACAGTAGCTCGAGTGATGCCAGGGAGACAATAATCTGCATGCGGTGTCAAAACACGACCTTTCTTCACTAAGAACTGCAGAGGAGATATATGAACATACAAGTAAGCACCTTTTCAATATGGTTTCCCAATAAATAAGAAACTTCTTGGTAACATAGTAGCGATGCCAAGGCTGGAGGCGGAAAGTGTACACTTACAATATTCGTAGCATTTGTTTCGGAAACGTAGCCATCCTTGTCAAGCATGATGGCATCATCAGCTGATGCATTATTCCCTTCTACCTAAATCGAGCAAGTACATTCAATCTTAACTATAATTCTTTTCAGTAATTGAAATCATTCGATACAGAGTAAAATAGCTATCATCTCAAATACCTTAGCAAGGATGTTGTTAAGAAGGTTGTTGTGGTGAATCTTTGAATCTAAATTCTGGCATTTCAAAAGAAGTAAGCATAATGGTACTATAAAAAAGCCCGTAAGGTAAACATCAAATCATCATACGCACATTTGGCGAGTTCCGCCTTGTGGTAGCAGTCACAAGAGTTATGCCATGTGCATTATCATAAACAGGGGGTTTCCATTCAGGAAGTACTGTCAAGCAGAAACCAAGGTGTAACCTAGATAAATATTACCATGCGAGCTATTTGTGCATATTAAGTCTGTCCAAGGAATTACCAATTAACGTGCATCCGTACAGATTAAACGCAGGGCTCATCCCTGAAGTAACCTGGGGTAAAATAACATTCAACAAGCAGGAGGTTAAATGCAATCCAAATGTTGTTCATCAATATTTGTTTGTATACGTTCACGTCTTTTAGCATGTTAGAATGATATGGAGAGTTGTATCTCTTATCGAAAGATAATCTATTATCAACCTTCTTTCCACGTGTAAGAGACAATCTTATGTGTGCATTATTGAACATTCCATTCGTAATAAGAGTTCTGAAGATGGCTTCCTTGATCTGTACATAATCCAAAATGAATAAATCAATTCTCTACAAAGAAGTAACTTCAACAAGAAACAAAATTTTGCAGGAAAAAATTGACGGACAGCTTCTTAAAACTCACCTCATCCCGAGTTGGAACATTACTAAAAGCTAAAGCCTTCGCTGAGTCAAACATCCTTTATCAAAAGAAGAAAGTCGGATGAATCTCAATCAAAATATCCGAAGTCTACTCTGCAGATATCGAGTAAAGAAATTCCTAAGGAGACAGAATCAACAATCAACATCCTAACTAACCTGTCTAAATGCTCCTCGAGCTTAAATACCTTTCCGTCATAAACGCGTAGACCCTCCCACACTGAATCGCCTCCTTGGACAACCGAGTCGAACACAGATACCTAAAACCAAAATATGAGAAGGCATCAGGAAAGAGTGACTCTTGAAACCGAATAAACTCTCAAGTTACCTTGGCACTATCTCGAGGAAGGATCTCATCTCCAACCCATGCTAGAAGCTTCTCATTTTCAGGCACTGGAAGATCAGGGGGAGGTAGCGGGCTCTTCAGAAGGTTTGATGAACGCTTTACGCGATGTTTAAGAACATTGTACAAAGGCAAGACTTCTTCCAACAAGTCATAAAGGCCAAATGGAAATGGCTACGAATGAAGCAAGATAAAGAGAATAGGTTAGGGAAATTAATTCGAAGAGAAAATGGCATGGAGATCAAACAAAATACTGATGGCATACCATGGGATACTTTCTCACTTTGGCAAAACATGTTGATTCATGCACACTCTTATACCACCACGGAGCCCAAACTCCATCATATGCTTTAGGACCAGCTTCCCAGCTGACATGATGTATAAAGAAATTGATATAAACACACATTTCAGATTTTGAAATAAATCTATGTAAAGAAGTTATCATACGGCTTTCTACTGAATTCACCCGCGACAGAACTGATATGTGTCTACACATACAAGGCAGCGTTTAGTGTAATGTAAATTTTAGACACCTAACTAACTCATTGATCACTGTTTTCGGCCAACTTGGTAAGGAGAGTACTTAATTTTTCTTCAGAAGAGACTCCATAAGTTTTAATGCTTAAGTTCAAATATGAGATAGAGGATCGCATGTGAAGCCATGGAATATGAAAAGCATCCTATAACCAAGAAGCGGACTCAAACTAGAACATGAAACGAAATGAACTAAGCTTTCAAATTGGGTTGTGACTGCTAACCTGAGCATTGAGCTCTGGAAAGGTATATCCAAGTCTTCACAAAGACCACGCAGTGTAGCCTGCAGGAGTAGAAAGTTGATTGCCAATCGTGATAGATCGCCATATACCAATAGAAGCATAATGTTGCAGAAAAAAACTGGAAATGGAAGGACAAAAGCTTTTGTTTGTATAAGAACATTTAACAGACGCTACCAACCTCAGGGTCTTGCTCAAGGTCTGCTGCATCAATAACTGGTGGAGGGCTTCCCAATTTGCAGAGATCACTGTATACCGAGACTAGTTCTGCTAGACCTAACTCGAAAAACGATGGGGGCACAACTTTATCAAAAGAGGGCTGACAAAAACAACAGAAACCAAAAGAACAAACAGTCAGCGAAATCACATATATAATCGATCGCAGGTGAAATTCAATGCATAACAGATTTGCAGATGAAAGGCTTGAAGCTATGTAGAGTTGAGTAATAGGTGTTGTATGGTTCCCCATCCGACTCAAAATCTCTTACCAAGATATCAAGGGGGCTGCGTATCAATATGAAGTGCTTCCCTTTCTTCATCAAATCACTGGGCAAACCAGGCAACCTTTGTTTCGAGATATGCTGCAGATAGTAAAAAGGAAAGACGCTGCAAATCATTAACTCAAAGCTATTATATTTCAGACAAAACAAGTTAGCTAATTATTCTCTTCACTCTGTGTCTTTTGCAGGCATCAAGATTACATCTTCTTAGTGATTGAGAACTCTACTATCAAGAGTGTTGCCCAAACATTACCTTGCAGAATCTGTACTTCTTTCTTCCTGGACCGAATATTACATCTTTTACAACCTTTTCTTCATCGGCTTCCTATTTCAAACCAAATGAAAGTGGAATACCAGATCAAAAAGCACATATAATCAAATGGCATAGGACGATAATGCAATGCAGCAGCATACCATGGAGCTTAGAACCTGCTCTCTGCATGGTCTTGCCGCACCAGTCGATTTTAGGAAAGTTGCATACAGAGGTTCGTCAAGAACTTCAGTGTCATCTCTCTGAGGAGAAGTAAAGAATAGAACCGAAATGCTTAGGTGCAAAATTCAGATGTCCTTGAGGGGGAATCAAACACTAAATTTCTTATCTTTAAGGTCCATGCATTCTCTTCCAGTCTCTCTCTCTCTCTCTCTCTCTCTCTCTCTCTCTCTCTCTCTCTCTCTCTCTCTCTCTCTCTGTTTTTTTTTCCCTTTTTGCCGTTTGAAAAAGCACAGAAATCAGTGAAATTGAACTAGTTCGATCGTCAACTTAAGCAAGACCCAGAAGTCAAAAGCGAACAATCATCAGTAGGAATCACAAAAGTCCCCCGCCCCAATTTCTCACAAATTTGTGTCAGCTGATCTCAACAAGCACTCAACTTTCCGGTTCAAACTCAGTCAACTTGAGATCTGCTTCACCACCCACCATCAGAAAACAAGTACAAGGAAATATAACCAGAAATGAGTCAATAGCTCCAAGAGATGAAGACCTGAGCAAAAGAGTACATGAGGCTGGTGCTGAGAGACCTCGGAGCTGACCATGCATGGATCACCTCCACCGCCTCTTCTCCGCTACCCATTTCGTCGACGACCGGTCTTGATGAACACAGTCACTAGCTAACAGTAAGGTGGCGAGGGTGAGTATTGAAGAAGGAGGTTGACACTGGTCAACCCAGCTGTGTTGCAGCAACCATTGGAGAAGGCTCTGCTTCTGTGCAGAATGAGAAGAAGAAGAAGAAGATTGAAGAAGCAGAGCTAAACGGCAGCGTACAAGGAAAGGACTATTGAAATGCTGCCGTTTCAGTTAGTCGTTTTAGGACGAGTTTCAAGTTTTACTGTATAGCACACGTGTCCCTCTGTAAATGATTAGATTAGATGTTAGTTAGAGTTAGCCGTTAGTAAACAGTGATTAGCTACTCTGTATATATATCTTTCTGATTCAATGGAAAAGCTCAATCGAGCAAATTCCCCAGATCTGTCCATTTCTTCTTATGGTATCAGAGCCTGGTTGCTCTCCATTTTGCTAGGGTTTCGTCCCGCCGCCTTTCCATATCTTTTGCTTACCTACCTTCCTTCATCTGAGAAATGGGTGACACATCAGAAGATCCCAGCAAGGATGATTCATCCAAGTCAGGGTCAAGCAAGATCATTGCGTATGAAGACCCGTACCTGAATCCATACTACCTTCCGCCACAAGATGGAGCTCTTTCCACCATCGTCTCCATAAAGCTTGTCGACGGCAACTACCACACCTGGAGCCAAGTGATGCTGGTAGCTCTGGGAACTAAGAACAAAATGGGTTTCGTTGATGGAACCATCCCACAACCAGAGGTAACAGATCCTATCTATCAGTCTTGGCTTCGCTGTAATGGGACTATCCGCTGTTGGATTTACAACTCTCTAGCTGAAGACATTGCCAATAGTGTGATGGGTTTGGAAAGTGCAAAGGCTGTGTGGGATAATCTGAGAATCGGGTTTAGCCAGGAAGATAACATTAGGGTTTTTTATCTAAAAACCCAGTTGGCTAAGTGTAATCAGGAAGAACAGTCAGTGAGTCAATATTTCACTGCTGTTACTGTTTTGTGGGAGGAACTGAAGAAGTATAGGCCTATTCCTGTTTGTCCCTGTAATGGCCCTTATGAAACTCTAAAGAGGTACCAGGACAATGACTTTGTGATCAAGTTTATGCAAGGACTTAACCCCATATACCAGTCAGCCAGAACCCAAGTTCTGATGAACCCTATTCTGCCTTCCATGGATGTTGTGTTCAAGCAAATCCTTCAACTGGAACGGCAGATGAAAGGTGTGAACAAAGCTACTGGGGTTGAGTCTGTTGCTCTTGCTGCTGCAACTGGACAGCACCCACAGACCAGCTCCAGAGATTACAAGGATGGGAAGAAGTATTGTAGGTACTGTAAGAAGGACTTTCACACTCTGTATGAGTGTATTAAGCTGAAAAACAAGAAGGCAAGGGAGGTTGGGAATGCAAGTTTTGCAGGATCAGTTGAGTCTCACACTGATGCTGAAGGCAATGGGATGGGTGTTTCATCCAATCCACCTAGAAGTCATGAAACCACCACAAGTTTGGCAAGTTTACAGTTGACTGGTGATCAGATGGAGAAGCTGAAGATGTTCCTGTTCCACTCTCCCACTTCATCTCCATCACCACCACCTTCACCCTCCATCAGACACTCAGCCAATGCTGTGGTTACCACTCATCACCAACCAGCTGAAGCTTCACAGCCCTCCAGTTCCACTTCTGCTCAATACCAGCCAATCTTTCTACCTTCCAGTTTAGGTATTACAATACTGTCAACCCTCTTGGCTAAGGCCATTGAACCATTGTGGGTTCTGGACACAGGGGCAACAGATCACATAGTGTGCCATTTAAAGTATTTTCTTAAACACAAACCCCTCACTGGAGTTTTTGTCACTTTACCTAATGGAAACAAAGTAGAGGCCACACACATAGGGGTTGTCAGGTTGCCTTGTGGACTTTTTCTTTCTCAAGTCCTCTTCATTCCCAGTTTTAGCTACAACTTAGTCTCAGTTAGTAAACTGACCAAAAACAATCCAGTCTCACTACTTTTCAAATCCTCTTTCTGTGTTATCCATGACCTTATTACACAGAGGAGGATTGGTTTAGCCCAAGTGGATAGAGGTCTCTACTTGTTCAATGACACCAAGTTCACTCATCCAGACTCCACTGCCATGACACCTACCTGTTTTGCTGCTGCAAATCTCAACTTCCAGCCACAAAATTTTGATATCTGGCATGCCAAATTAGGCCATCCATATGTGTCCAAGATAGAGGCCATACACAAACAGTTTCCTGATGTACTCCCTTCTAAAGTTTTACATTGTAGTGTTTGTCATTTGGCCAAACAGAAACGGTCTCCCTTTCCTGTTAGCAACTCTGTTCATCCTTCCCTGTTTGGTTTGTTACATGTTGACATTTGGGGACCTCTGAGTACCCCTTCTTACAATGGATACCATTACTTTTTGACCATTGTTGATGATCACAGTAGATGTGTGTGGACCTATTTGATGAAGTCTAAGGATGAAACTAGGAACCTTCTTACTTCTTTCTGTGTTATGGTAACAAATCAGTTTCACAAATCTGTTCAAATCATTAGAACAGATCAAGGACAAGAATTTCACATGAATGAGTTCTATTCAGCTCATGGAATAGAACATCAGATGAGTGTAGCTTATACCCCTCAACAGAATGGGAGGGTAGAAAGGAAACACCAACATTTACTTAATGTTGCTAGGGCATTGAAATACCAATCTGGCCTACCTCTCACTTACTGGAGTGAGTTTATCCTCCACGCTGCCTACCTCATTAACAGGATTCCCACTCCTGTCCTGCACAACATCAGTCCCTATGAGAAGTTGTATGGTGTGCCACCAGATTACAGTTCTCTTAAAGTGTTTGGTTGCTTGGTTTATGCATCCACAGCTGGTCCTCATAGAACAAAGTTCTTTCCCAGATCCAAACAGTGTATTTTCCTGGGAATACCAGTTGGGATCAAAGGTTTCAAGCTGCTAGACCTTGACACTCATAGGGTTTTCTGGTTCTCTGATATCCCTTCTTTTTCACCACCTTCTGCTGATGATGACTCTTCCTCTGAGGATCATCAGTCTGAGGGGGGATATCATCACCACCACCATCACCTGCTCCCCATTCTCCTTCTCCTTCACCTTCCTCTCTTTCTGCTGATCCTCCTCAGGACAGTCATTCCCCTTCTATATCCCCTCCATTCACTACAACTCACCATCCAACTACCTCTCAATCCCAACCATCACCTCCTGCTCAGTTAAGAAAGTCAACTAGAACCATTAGACCACCAAACTGGCATGGAGATTATCAGATTCAGTATCCCATCCATAAAGCTCTATCCTATACTCATTTATTACCTAGACATCAACACTTCATTAGTAGCCTTACTTCACACCTAGAGCCTACTTCTTATCAAGAAGCAGCTCTTGATCCCAACTGGAACAAGGCAATGCAAGAAGAGTTGAAGGCACAGATTGACAATGGGACTTGGGAAATCACAGATTTTCCAGTTGGTAAGAAGGTCATTGGCAATAAATGGGTGTACAAGTTGAAGCTGTTTTCAGATGGGACTATTGAGAGACACAAAGCAAGAATTGTGGCAAAGGGTTTCACCCAAATTTATGGCATAGACTACTGTGATACATTCTCACCAGTAGCTAAGCTAAGCTCAGTAAAGACCTTGCTTGCAGTTGCAGCTGTGCAGAAGTGGCATCTGCACCAAATGGATGTGAGTAATGCATTTTTGAATGGAGATTTAACAGAAGAAGTCTACATGACAATACCACCTGGTTTGGATATAGGGGAGAACAGTGAAGGGAAAGTTTGTCGCCTTAAGAAGTCTCTTTATGGTTTAAAACAGGCAAGCAGGCAATGGTACACCAAGTTAACTGAGAGCCTGTTGAAATATGGATTCAAACAGACATCTTCAGATTATTCCATATTCACTGCACAAGTTCAGAATGCTTTAGTTGTATTGATTGTGTATGTGGATGATATTCTTATTGGAAGTGTCAACATGGAAGCCATAAATGAGGTAAAGAGAATGCTGAAGGGTGAATTCAAAATGAAGGATCTAGGGGAGCTGAAGTACTTCCTTGGCCTGAAAGTTATAAGAGGAGTTAAAGGGATTACAGTCTCACAGAGGAAGTATTGTCTGGATCTCTTGAAGGAATCAGGGTTTGAGAACTGCAAACCTGCAGCTACACCTATCTTTGTGAAAGAGGTCTTATCATCGACTGGAGGAACTCCTTTGGAAGATGTTGGCTTGTACAAACATCTTGTAGGTCAACTGCAGTATCTGACCACCACAAGGCCAGATATTGCCTTTGCTGTGCAACAACTTTGTCAATACCAGGACAGTCCTACTACATTGCACCTAAGAGCTCTACACAGAGTTCTAAGGTATCTAAAAGGTTGTCCAGGACAAGGGCTGTTGTATTCTTCGAGTGCAGCCTTGGAACTAAGGGGATACAGTGATTCAGATTGGGCTACATGCCCAGACACCAGAAAATCCATTACTGGATACTGTACCTTCCTTGGTCCTAGCATTCTGACCTGGAAAAGTAAGAAACAGAAGACTGTGTCAAGGTCTTCGTCTGAAGCTGAATACAGAGCATTAGCTAGCCTGAGTTGTGAAGTTGAATGGTTGGTAAGATTGCTCAATGACTTTGGTATTCAAATTTCTCAATCAGTTAAGGTGTATTGTGACAATCAGTCAGCAATCCACATCGCAGAGAATCCAGTGTTCCATGAACGAACAAAGCACATTGATGTGGATTGCCATGTGATTAGAGAAAGGGTTCAATCAGGGCTGATCACATTACATCATGTTCCAACAGATTTTCAACTTGCTGATATTTTCACTAAGAGTTTATCTGTTGATCGATTTGAAATGTTATTGTCCAAGCTGGGAGTATATGATCTATACTCGCCAGCTTGTGGGAGGGTATTGAAGAAGGAGGTTGACACTGGTCAACCCAGCTGTGTTGCAGCAACCATTGGAGAAGGCTCTGCTTCTGTGCAGAATGAGAAGAAGAAGAAGAAGAAGATTGAAGAAGCAGAGCTAAACGGCAGCGTACAAGGAAAGGACTATTGAAGTGCTGCCGTTTCAGTTAGTCGTTTTAGGATGAGTTTCAAGTTTTACTGTATAGCACACGTGTCCCTCTGTAAATGGTTAGATTAGATGTTAGTTAGAGTTAACCGTTAGTAAACAGTGATTAGCTACTCTGTATATATATCTTTCTGATTCAATGGAAAAGCTCAATCGAGCAAATTCCCCAGATCTGTCCATTTCTTCTTAGTGAGAATGGAGTTTTGGTAAACGGAGTCAAATAAAACTTCGATCGACTAAACATCAAAACCTTGCCATGGTCTTTTAATCTTTTTGGTTTGCAGAGCCAGGGGAGAGGGATGGGACGGAATCTTTTCAGAAATATTTTGCTAAAAAACAAAACGTCCGGGAATCTGCCAGAATCTCATTGACACCCGTGAATCTCTTTTCTAGTAATGTATTTGTTGTAGAGGGGAAAGAACGGCGACTTTGTCGCTTGATTGTGTGGGTAGTGAAAGTGAATATCTAGGCCCACATGGAAAGAAAGGCTTTCGATTCACGGGAAAAGGAGGTATAGAACAAAATCACCTAAGAACTTTCACATGAACATGCAGACCGACTGCTATTTGGAGAAAGCACGAATCTTTTTAGGGTGGAAAGTAACTAAACGTTTGGATCTTTTCAGCATTTGGAAGTGACAGTAAATAAACGGATACTAGAAGGATCGTAAGAGCTCATATAAGGAAGTAACTTCAATGGCCTTGCTGTATCGGTTATGTCTGTGATTGTAAGGCCACCCTGCTCTGCTAGGTCTAGGAAACAATTGAAGGTATCAATGTTCCGTATCACACAAGCAATGTAACCCACTGGGGTTGTCATTGACTCAGCAGATGCTTGTTCATCATTCTCAGATTCTTCAGCTCTGCCTTCATTGACAATGTCCTCCTGGCAGTTGCTGTTCCTTGTCTGAGAAGTTACTTGCCTTTGCTTCAATAGGGTTGCAAGTACTCTAACAAGATGAGGGAGGCATGCGGGGTCGTAGATTACATCAGCACCTAAACTGTAGAATGATGCATTAAGAGAATGGCTGTCATTTCTGGAGCAGAACATGTTGTTGAAGAAAGTGCATTTCAAGGAAAGATAAAGATTGCTCACACTATGTCAGGCATGAACTCCTGAAGTTCAGCTTCAGCAGCAGATTCCCATGACAGGTGAATACATTGCACCTCAGAATTACTCCCGGAGTCAGATTTTACCTGCTTTGGATCACTAAATATCATTCCATTTTATTGTCACAAAATACTAGGATTAAGGCACGGTTTACAGAAACACAGATAATAAACGATATATTAACGTATCTTTGGAATTTAAGAGGGGGGGGGGGGGGGGGGGGGGGGGTGGCGACCCACCAAGTTTAGCTCCTTGCCACATTTCTCTTGCATATCCATTCTGGTGCTTATACGGTTTAATCCCAAATTAAGCTTCATATTAGCCAAAGTTGACAGATCACCATCAGATAATACAACCTGCAGTGAGTGGAAACTACAGCAGTTATGGCAGATTACATCAGATTTTTTTTTACTTGAATACTAGTAACTCCAGAGCCCTATGATCATAGCATAAAAAATGAACAGAAATCAGAACTGCACCTATGCCTGAGAAGCAAAGGCAAAACGATAAAGCTAATAAACCCATGAGAACCTACAATCAGAGATAATCTGATACTTAGTTCTCATATCAGTTACCTTCGAAGCTTTGACATGAGAAAGACAAACTCCAACCAAGCCAACGCCAGAACCAACCTGATTTGACATTCAGTAAGTCATTATGAAAACCAGTTCAAGGAAACAACTCAAAAAAGGAAGACTAAGAGCAAGATGAGTAGAATTACAGCCAGCTACAGCATACATCCTGACTTTCTTAAACAACAAAGTTGGCACAAATAAGAGAAGATATATATTCCTTAACATGTCCACTACTTCAAAGCAGGTTTTATTGGAGAATCTATCTGGGAAAGAAAGTATAAACTCAGACAAATACAGACTTGAAGGCCAAACAGAACACCTGCAACAATTAAATGACGGTGCAGTACAATGTTAGTTTCCAGAATCCATGGATAGTGGTATCGGAAACAAATAAGAGGGAGTGTGAAATGAACGGCAGTGAAAGTGAACTTCCATATGTTTTACGCTCCATTAAAGGCAGGACTATCCGTTGAAAACATAAGTAGATTTAAGTATCAAGCCCATTACAAAATTTTACCATTAACATATTGAATCCATCGGGAAAATATAGTTTGATCAAGATTTGTTTTCCCGAGTTCCAGAAAGAAAGCAAGACATCTTTATGAACACAAAGTTCCAAAGCTTGGAATCGTAGAAAGCGGTTGGCCTACTTAAATGCAATTAGACTACAACAGATTTGATAGAAATAAAATGTGACGAGGAAGGAAATCAAGAGCAAAAACTAACACGAGGGAAGAACATGGAGGTGCAGTTGTAAACAATGATATAAAAATCAGAAAGCAATCACCATTATACAAAAAAAAACAATCAGAAATATACTGCTTACCCGGTATCCCCTTCGAGCATGTTAAGGGAGCAATTGAGAGGAACCACCAACTTTCTCGATTTGGGACAACTTGAAAGTTCAAGAGAACCTATCCTCAATACACGCACAGACCATCAACTAGACATTGAGCCAGAGCAGTAAAGATAAAATTCCACACAAACATGTATTTCCAGGTCCTAACTCTTACCATCTGTGAAAAGAAAGAACCAAGCTTATTTCCAGACGTAAAATTCACAAAGTGGAAGCCAAGTTCGCACCTTCCATGTCAAAAGGGTTTAATCAGGAGCAGAAAGAAAGGGTTTCAATTCAATTAATAGTTACTCTACTTACAGCTTGGTTTATGCAGTGCTCCCATATAAACCTCTGGACATTCTCTGAAACCATCCCTCCGCCGCACGCCCTTAACATATCAAACACAATAAAGAAACACTGGCAACTCGTCAGCCGCCATACCAGTTGCTAAAGCTGAGCTATCGCATTAGGGATAGAGATGGAATTACCTTGCAATGGAGATTAACGAGTCGGAAGGCTCCATGGCGAGGAAGGCGGAGACCAAGTGAAGGCCTGGAGGGAAGTTGGGATCAAGCTCCTCTGAGTTCGCCATAGTTGATAGTTACCCCGGCGTTTCGCCAACAAAGGAGACTGCTCTGGAAATCACAGTAATGTGGTTGCAGTGCTACAAAGAAATCGCTAATGAACCTGCCGAGTGCCTGTTTTGGAGTGAAATCGTGGGGGACGAATCCCGAACTCATCTGCATACGCCATCCGCTAGCTTGCTGCGACATGTCGTTTTCACTTTGTTCAGAAAATGCGAACGACTAGTGTGATGAGTGGCAAACCGACACGTGTCCCATGGGCCCAAAGTCAAAATGCTCGATTGGTCAAGCAGATTTGATTGCGAATTGCGATTAATTTTTCACGCTTCTTCTCTCTCTCGTTCCCATTTCCCGCCAACTGAAGGAAAAGAGCTCACAAGAAATCAAGAATTGTGAGGTTGGCTCTCGTTTCTCTCGTCTTGTTCGCTGTTTGGTTTCCGAGAAAATCCTCGCTACTTCTTCACACAACTTGACTTCTGAGAAGATCGTTTCTTCTTTTTCAGTAGCCATCGACGAACTGCAGCCTCGATTTCGATTCAAGTTTGAAATTTCCATTTCTCATCACCAAGAAAACATGAATCAGGTAAAGGGTCAACACTTTTCAAACTAATTCTAGTTGTAGGTTTTGAATCTCCAGTCGTAGATCTAGACAGATGATACGTAATAGTCCAGTGATTAGTCCTCTTCTCCCAATTTCTGGCTCAAATGATCAGGACATCGAAGCGTCTCCTTCGCCAAAGAAGCAGTTCTCCAATGTAACTGTCTGCTCTCGCTTCAGGCCACTGAATTCAAAAGAGAGGAAGGATCACGGTGGCCAGGTTTGCGTGTGCCGCATCGACGACGAAACTTTCGTCTTCAAGGTATGTACTATTAATCTGATATTCACCTCCCTTGCCTTCGATTGCTATGCTAATTTAAAGTTCCTCTGGTGTTAATTAGGATGAGAAGGAAGAAGAGTCTACTTTCAGCTTCGATAAGGTTTTCTACGAGGATTCTCTGCAAGCTGATGTCTATGAATTCATAGCCCTGCCTATCGTTCGTGGTATAGAGATCGCTGCAAACTGTTTGATTAGTTTTCTTCTTTCGTATTCAGATTCTCGTTTCTTGTTTTCAAACATCTGGTTCGTTTGATTCTGAAATTCTTCCTCGACTCAGATGCTGTTAATGGAGTGAACGGGACGATAATCACTTATGGACAGGTGAGTTTAGGTCAAATTGGAGTCAAATTTCCTGTTATTGTTCATGTTTGATTGTCGATTGTGGTTTAGACTTTAGACCTTCCTTTTCGTTTTTCTGAATCATCACTGTCATCTTTCTTCAAGCAGACGGGAGCCGGGAAGACGTATAGCATGGAGGTCACATTACATTTTGTTTCCTTTGAATTCCAATGTACCTTGTGGGCAGTTTGCTGCTTTGCTTATTATGATAACTCTTCCATGCTACTGGAATCAGGGACCAAATGTTCTAGAATCAGATGATATGAAGAAAGGGCTACTTCCAAGAGTAGTAGATGGACTGTTTGAGCATCTTGCGTCTGCTGGTGATTCAATCAAGTACAAGATCACGCTATCCATGGTAGAAACCAGTACCATTGCTAATAGATTTGGTTTGACAGCTTCAACAAACTGGGACTAACACGCACTTCTCATGCTATCTTCTGATTCTTGTAGGTTGAGATCTACATGGAGAAAGTCAGGTATAAGTTCTTCATGTTTTCTCTAACCTAGTTTAGAAGTGAGGATGTTTATACGAGCAATGAAATTTCGGTGCTGTGTTTCGTTAGGGATCTCTTTGACTTGTCTAAAGATAATTTAGTGATCAAGCAGAATAAAGACCATGAGATGCTGGTTTCTGGAGTGACAGAGGCAAGTGAACTTTTGCCTCTACAATCTTTATCAGGAAAATTAGTTCATTTGATGTCAGTGTGGTACCAAACTGCAGGGTTACTTTGACCATTACCAAAGGAAGGCAGGATGATTAATTTGGTTTTTAAATGTCAAGTCAATGAGGACTCGAAGTCAGATTTATCAAGCAAACTTTTCATTAGTTAGATCAGATGGTGAACTCCATTCATTTGTAGACAAGCTATCATTCGTTTAGAAATCGACTGTGCTTGTTGTCAGTCTTAACCATACTTTCAGTTTACTGACAAGCATTTTACTTGGCCAGATTCATTTGTCAGACACAGGAGAAGCTTTGCAAAACCTACATGTAAGATGGTTTCCTTTGAACACTTATTTTTCAAATGCGTATCCCATGTTCTAATATTAAGACTGAACTTGCAGGCTGGAATACAAAATAGAGCTGTTGGGGAAACTCGTATCCACATAATCATGCTTCTAAAGTGTCATTGATCTTCTAGTAACTAGCAATGGATAGTCTTCACAAACTACCTGCACTACTCATCTGTGTGGAATAGGCATAGACGTTCAGTTCTTGACAGTAAAAAGAAATGAATCTGGCAAGCAGTCGAAGCCACTGTGCCTACATATTCACAGTCCAGCCAGTTTCGACCAGGGATAGGTCTTTGTCTGTTTCAGTCTTCTGCCCTTTACCTTTTATCAGAGTTACATTGAGAAATTATTCTGAAAGTTTGAACATCATTGGCAGGGGAAGGACAGGGAAATTGGTGCTTGTTGACTTGGCAGGATCTGAGAAAGTGGAGAAAACTGGAGCTGAAGGGAAACTTCTTGAAGAAGCTAAGACCATAAACAAATCCCTATCAGCTCTAGGGAACGTGATAAATGCTCTAACATGCAGTTCATCCAAATCTAATCACATACCTTATCGTGATTCTAAGCTGACCAGGCTTCTTCAAGATGCTCTAGTTAGTTCCTTGCCACTCAAGATTCCCAATCTGTTGTTCTTCCAAGGACCAGAGTTTGACCATCTGGGTTGTTCTTCTGCCACCAGGGAGGAAACTCTAGGACTGCTTTAATCTGTTGCTGCTCGCCGAGTACCTCAAACTCTTCAGAAACATTTTCCACTCTTCGTTTCGGTACCAGGTGTATACCGTGTATTCTTTAGCCTATTCCATGGATAAATAACTGACGAGGAAAATGCATGTCATTATAACTAGATTCTTGCTATTGCATATTTGTACTCACTTAATGACAATAATACTGATTGGTATTTTGTTGTAGGGCAAAGCATATAAAGACATCGCCTACTGCTAAACGGATAATTGATGAGGAAACTGGAGCCAGATGGAATGCACTCGATGTTCCAGCAAAAGAGGAGTCTGGCGAGAGAACACTAGCTGAGGTCAGAACCAAGTTACAGCTATACATTCCCCGAAGCACATGCTCCTTCTTTTGACCGTAATGGGTATTTCTGCAGGTGAAGTTAATACCAACTGTCAAACCTATTGATCATGCATCAGATGCCCCAAAGAAAGATGATCATCATGGGAGAATTCTAGCCAAGGTCCGATTTCAAGGCCTAAAGATGTTCCTCTGAATCACATGCCCTTTCATTTCCTCACCATTTTCTTAGAATTATAATGCAGTTGAGGGAGAGATTGGATGACGAGGATGTCAACTTGCTCGAGGAATTACTCATACTGGAGGGAATGCTGTTTGATCCCAGTGCAGAAGGAGTGCGGATCCCATGACTAAGGGGGGGTCCTTAGACACTTGACTAAGCCCCTCCTAGCCATTAGATCTGGACACTTTAATCTAATAGTTAAAAAGTGGGAAGGACTATTTAATTAATGACAGGGGTAGTTTGGGTATTATGGAAAATTACAAAGTATACAAACTGGATTTACAATCAGTACAAACCATACAAACATACGAACAGTACAAACTAGAGCGACAAAACATACAAACATTACAAACGTATGAACTGTACAAACAATACAAACTAGACCGACAAACAATACAAACCATACAAAAAGAAAAAACACCCGGGTTGACTTTGGAGGCTCCATCCCTATATAGAGGGGCTCCTTCCCAAAGTCAACCCGGGTGTTTTTTAGACATACAAACAGTACGAATATGGTGGACAAAAATGACAAACTATAGCGACAATCCATACGAACTGAAAAAACACCCGGGTTGACTTTGGAGGCTCCATCCCTATATAGAGGGGCTCCTTCCCAAAGTCAACCCGGGTGTTTTTTAGACATACAAACAGTACGAACATGGTGGACAAAAATGACAAACTATACCGACAATCCATACGAACTGAAAAAACACCCGGGTTGACTTTGGGGGCTCCATCCCTATATAGAGGGGCTCCTTCCCAAAGTCAACCCGGGTGTTTTTTAGACATAAAAAACATTACAAACATGGTTGACAAAAATGATAAACACGATACACAAAAATAACAAAGTTTACAAACATTACAAATAAAACCGACAAACATTACAAAATAACAAAGCGTACAAACATTACAAAATAAACCGACAAACATTACAAAAATAACAAAGCGTACAAACATTACAAAATAAACCGACAAATACTAATAGTACAAGATCCCGGCGGGGAAAAAAAAACGAGACGGACGGCAGGGCAGGAAGAGAAGAGCCGGAAAAAAAATATTTAATAATTAAAAATAAAAATAATCATGAACTTACAGTTTTGCCCTTCATTAAAGTAGATTAATTGTAGCCATTAGATTTTAATGAGATGGAAGGGCTGAGATTTACTTAGTCATGTGACTAAGGGCCCCCTCTTAGTCACCTGATCTAGCCCCAGAAGAAGGCATGGAATCAGGCTGCAAAGGCATCACCTCACGTACAATTAACTTGCTGCAACATAATCTGCAAGAGCTTATGATTACTTGTGACGAGGTAATTAGAGCAGAATTTTAGTTAATAATCGCACCAAGAGAATGATGCTACTCTTTGTTTCAGCTTAGCATCTTCCACAGCACTTTTCCCTGATAAGCGTAGGGTTGTGCGTGTGTTTGCAGCTTAAGAGTGAGAACAAGGCTCTCAAGGCCAGAATTGCAGCTAGTGGAACTATGGAAGGTGGTCGGAAAGAGAATGGAAGTTTCTTCGTGCAGAAAGTTTCAGGCATTATCAGCTTCTTCTTTCCGTGGGTTTGGGCCGGGCCCAGTAGTCAAATTGCTTGAGCACAAGGCCTTTTTTTTATAGGAGGCACTACACAATCAATTAGAGCTTTTTCAGTTCGTTTATTAACACGCATGATAATGTAGGCATTGTCATCTTTCGCCGTCATTACAGATCATTTACCCGTTACGAACCGTGTTCATTGTCCACTTTCAATCGTTACACATGCCCTTTGTAACACATTAATGAGGCAAGCTGAATTGAGCTTTGTTCAGCGTTTGTTCGTTTATAAACGAGTTGAACTCGAGCTCGGCTCGTTCATAAATGAGATGAGTCGAGTCGAACACGAGCCAACTCATATATTGAATTTTGGCTAATCATTAAGATTGAAATTTCGACTCGAACTCAACTCAAGATAATTTATAAATTAAATACTCTAATATTTTTGTATCATATATGATACATGTGATTAACTTATCTTCATGTCATATATGAGACATATTTACTCACATACTTAAATTATGAAGCTTCACTTTATGGTGAGAATGTGAAATATATAATTTAATAAATATATGCATCATTAAAACCAACTCATAAGATATAGATTGATTTCCCCATAAGTCGTAATCAAGTTGGGTCTCTAGTCACAATGTTGAAACATCTCATGAGCTCAAAACGAGACAATTCAAGAGTCAAACTCAACAAGACACCTAATCGAACTAGTTCACGAGCCTCACTAGTCGAACAAAGTTGAACTCGTGCTCGGCTCATTAATAAATGAATCAAACTTTTATCAAACTGATATTCTACACAGAAAAGAATATTGGTCAATTGTGGCCCATGTCCAGAAATGTGGCCCAAATCTGGAAACTCTCTCCACGGCCCAAAACGTTAAAGCCTCTCCCTTGATTTGATTTACATCTACCAATTGACTTACTCGGCTCTGCTTCTGAACTCTGAAGCCTTCCTTTCTCCGGCGTGTTAACTGTTCTGTTAAGAACCAAGAAGAAGCAGTAGTAGAAGCAGAGCAGATAAGGTACGGGGGTGTGGAATAGTATGATGAATCTGTTACCTTCCCTGTCGCGTCAGAAATGGAAATCTTCCGTTCTTCAATTTGGGTTTTTTTCCTCCTTCTTTCACCTTCTTTTCGTGTGCCGTCCAACTGCTCGACAAAATGCAACACCCACTCAGTAAGCAAGTATCAATCCCGGGATCATACACAACAACCCGCTGATTTCCAATTTGTGGTTGGGATTTTATCTCAGGGCACCATTGAGGGAGGAAATGGCGTTAAGGCGCTACTTTGGGTTCTCAGAGGGAGAACTGATGAGGTCCGATTGCAAGCCTTGCTCCAGGCTCATGAGGCACACCGCTGGGATCTTCTCCGTCGGCGGAGCATTCGGGTTCTGGATTCTCTGCAGGTTGCATTACGGTAAGAGCCCTCACCACCTTCCCTTTCTCTTCTGCTTTACCTTCCTTTTCCATTGAATTGGAGTAAGACCCCAAAAAACGATACTTTGATCAAGCTGGAATTGTCAATTTGTATTGGGGTTAGGTTCTCCACTTGGGTGTCTCTTTTCGTTATCATACTGATTCACCTTTTTTTCCCCAGGTCCCAGAGTCACAACTCCCAGGGCGCTAAGGTGGGCGGCATGTGGAGCATTCACCGTAAGTTCATCCACGGCGATGCTGGTACGCCTCTTTAGTCCCGAGTGCGAGCCCCAGAACATTGCTGCTTTCGACAAACCTGCATAGCAAACGCCACGATGGCTTCTCTCTAGCCCCTACAGCTATCGATCGGTCGCTCAGATCTTTGTGGCTGGTAGAAACTTGTACACTATGTGAAGGGGTTCCAAATTTCATATGGCAATAGAGAATGGTTACTGTGAATTTGTCAGTGGAAGTGTTTTCAAGGAAAAAGAACTTGTGTTTGAACAAATATCAGAACGTCATTCCTGCCTAATTATGCAACAAACACTTGGCTTGCTGATATGAATTTGGTTGGTTTGTTTCCCTGCACTGATTAGCAGCCTCAAATTGTGCACATTTAGTAAAAGAATCTCGATTTGGGAATTCTTGATGATGTAGCAAGAAAGGATGAAATGGTAGTAATGATGCCTGTGAATGAGGAAGAAGCTTATTATTAATTAGCCTTAAAGAGATTGCTGCATTCACGGGGTTTGGAAGGATATGTGTAACGTTAAGGTTTTACTGACAAAATGGTCTCACGGGCTGATGAAAGGATTCTGAAAGAAAGAAAAGGGAAGAAGTGTAGATAATATTGGCAAGGAAACAAAGCTTTGAAGGGAAAAATGTGCCTTATCTCAACTTCTGCAATGCCCTTCCTTCTGTCTTTGCTTTTGGCAATCATTTTCCTTCATTACATCAAATATACTAAATCCTATATAAAGCATCCAAATGTCATTTCTTTTTCATCATTGCATCCTTGGGTTTGTGTTACCATTACACTAGAGCTCTACTACATTCTACATCCATGGCGGCTGCCAAGAGCTCTGTTGTTCTCAATACATTGATCATCATCATCATCATACTGTCACCCTTCCTATCATATTCAGCAACCTCCACTGAGTTCAACTATCCGGCAGCTTTCAACTTCGGCGATTCGAACTCGGACACGGGCGACCTCGCTGCTGGCCTCGGCTTTCGTCTTGGCATCCCCTATGGACAGACCTACTTCAACCCTCCGACGGGGAGGTTCTGCGATGGCCGCCTTATCCTCGACTTCCTAAGTACATAAGTTTCCTCTCATCACTCTCATTATAGTAGCATATGGGTTGTCGCAGTTTTGAACATGGAACCTATAAACCAAACAAAAAAGATAGAATCTTTTTCTCGTGTTTTATCCTTATTTTTCAATGAAAATGGTTCTTCTTTTGGTTCATTGCTTCAAATAGTTTAAAACAGAAACCTTCCGTGGTACATAATAGAGATTGACCCACCACCTTCATTTTGCTTTGTCTCTCCGGTTGGTGAGTAACTAACATCAAATCCTTCTTTGCACTGAAAGCAACACCTTACTTCCCTTCGTTGGATATTATAAGCGCATGGTGGTTGCTCTCTAGAGCTCTAAGGAACTCTGTTGCCATGGAAACCAAGTTTTTGTTGTTTGTGATTCTCTTGGTCTCTATGTTTGCCCCCATGGCTCATTCCATAGACTTCAACTTCCAATCTATCTTCAACTTTGGTGATTCGAACTCTGACACGGGCAATCTCATTGCCGCTGGGATCGAAACCATCAACCCTCCTTATGGTCAGATTCACTTCAAGACTCCTTCTGGGAGATACTGCGATGGCCGCCTCACTATCGATTTCATCAGTACTTGTCCTTGGCCTCTGAGCCTCTCTGGAATCTGAAACTCTGTTTTTCCTTGCTCTGTTTTTCCCCCTGCTTCTCCTCTGCTGATTTTGGATATTGGGATTCAATAATGTGCACTGTTTTGGATTTGGCAGTGGATGCTATGGATCTACCGTTTCTAAATGCATATCTGGAAGCTGTTGGGTTGCCGAATTTCCGAAGAGGATGCAACTTTGCAGCTGCTGGCTCAACCATAAATCCAGCAACACCAACGTCAGTCTGCCCATTCTCATTTGGGATTCAGGTGTCTCAGTTTCTGCGATTCAAAGCTCGTGTCATCGAATTGCTCTCCAAAAGTTTGTTCTTTTGACCCCTTAAAGATTGATTCAAATGGTTCAGAATTTTATCAGAGAGTTTTTCACTGATCGTTTTTGTTTGTCCTTCAACAAACAGGTAAGAAGTTTGACAAGTACCTTCCAGCTGAGGACTATTTCCAGAAGGGGCTGTACATGTTCGATATAGGCCAGAATGATCTTGCTGGTGCATTTTACTCCAAGACTTTCGACCAAGTCGTCGCCTCGATCCCCACCACTTTAGTCGAGTTCGAGAATGGAATCAAGGTTTTCTATAGCTCTTCATTACTTAAAACTCTCTCCTTTCCTTTGAACCAATGTCTTTCCCTCCCTTGTTCTGCTTCCAAAACTTAAATATACCTCCATTCTTGTTATAGAGATTGTACGATGAAGGCGCGAGGAACTTCTGGATACACAACACGGGTCCTCTCGGATGTTTGGCTCAGAATGTGGCGAAATTCGGTACTGATCCATCCAAGCTCGACGAGCTAGGCTGTGTTGCTGGGCACAACCAAGCTGCCAAGCTTTTCAATCTGCAGCTTCATGCTCTCACCAAGAAGCTGCAATCCCAGTATGCCGATTCGAACATCACACACGTCGATATCTACACCATCAAGTCCAACCTTATTGCAAACTACTCCAGATACGGTAATCATTCTTGTCTTCCACCGCATTGAGAATGCGAATTGCGAGGAATGATGGTGCGCTATGTCATTATCCTTTTTTTGCAGGATTTGAGCAGCCCATAATGGCCTGCTGTGGCTATGGAGGACCGCCGCTGAACTACGATAGTCGGGTTGGATGCGGGCAGACAAAAGTGATCAACAACGCGACAGTTGCGGCCAAGGCGTGCAATGACAGTACTGAGTACGTGAACTGGGATGGGATTCATTACACTGAAGCTGCAAATCAGTATGTTTCGTCGGAAGTGCTCACCGGAAAGTATTCTGACCCACCGTTCGCTGACAAGATGCCATTTGCTCTCAGTCTCAAGTTCTGAAACACAAAAGCTTGCTCAGATCGATTGCCGTAACTGGTTTCATTCTTTTACTCTCCAACATTGTATTCTTCCTCCTGCCTGGAAAATCTTATTACAAAAATGATAGGATAATGCTAAAAGTGCATTCTAACATTGATCGACTTTGTCACTGGAAGGAAGTTATAATCCTTCATGGGAAGGATCAAGGATCTAACATTATTGTATTGGGAATCTAAGGGAATAATAGATTGATTTACGTCAAACGTTATAATTGGAGTGAAATCAGTGTCGATTTCATTTAATGGGGGTTTGATTTATTGTAGTAAATGCATATGGGATATTTATTAATTTCATAATTTGTCACAATGACCAAGGCTCCTATGCTTTAAAAAAGTAAATTAATTACATTTACCGTCCGAGCTATGACGATCTCGCTTTCAATGATTTCTATCAAATCATGATTCATAAATTTTCAATTCTTTCAACATTAAAGTTGGTTGCGATCGATGATTAATGCAGGCTGGAATTAGTTGGCAGAGATGAGGGCTTAGCAATTATGTTTTTCTCGAAGAGTTATCTCCTTGATAAATTGATAAAACTTAAAAGAGTCGAACAACTTTGACTCAGTTGTGAAGTTGGCTTGACTTGGTTTGTGTCAGACATTGTTTCCATTTAATGCAATTTCACCATTATAAAAAAAAAAGCATCGAACAAAATTATAGATTTGAATTTCAAAGAGTAGGTCTGGTGATAATGCTGAGAGAATAAGATGTATAACACCTTGGCTTAACGAATTTGAAGGTTCGGATTTTTTCGTGTGATTTTTTGCTTTGTTTCTATTTTTTATTCAGAAACTATAATTTAATCTTTATAGTTGAAAGTAAATTAAACTAGTTTGATATAAGAAACACTCAAATGAGTAGGGGAAGGGCTGTAGGTGGGTATGTTTTGACCGTTTTTACTTTTTAGTCATTTAACCAACGAGTCTCGATTTGAATAATGGTAAATCCAAACATACCCTTGAGTTTCAAGTTCTTATTGGGTTTTAGACTTTTAGTCACAGGCTAGGTCGGGGTATGGTGAAATCCAACTCATCATAAGAGAATATTGTAATACCATGTTGGATTCTTACTAGAAAAATACCATACAAATTTTATTTAAAAAAATAAAAAAAAAATGTTTCATTTTGACGTCTCTTGGGCAATTCCATTTCATAGTCGCTTGGTTTCATATTGTGTTTTACACGAGGTGAACATTTTGACTTTTGAGTCAAGTTTCAAGATGTTTATTTATCATGCCTCGACCACGATGGTGCAACGAATCTAAGTCTTTGACGTGAATGCTTATTGTAACGTTGACTAGATTGGATGTCAACATATCTAGCATTCAGCCTCATGCTACTTCATTAAATTTGTTGATAGTCCAGTGTTACGCCGCACGAAGAAGCATATTGTCGTCACCTGATCATGAGCTCAATCTAATTATCGAGTATAGCTAGCACAGTTAGTGAAGTTATTTGGTTACGTTGGTTTCTAAATGAACTTGGACCTCGCTACATGTGATAATCAAACGGTCTAGCATAGTGCAGCCAACACTCTGTTTTATAAACGCACCAAACTCATTAGAGTGAGTTGTTTCGCGCCAAATACAAAGTCTTGATGTTCAATTTGCTTCTTTCTCAAAAGACCTGGAAATGTTTACATGAACTGTAAACATCACAACAAGATAAAAACACAGTTGCTCTCTAAACATTTCAATCAGAGGAAATCAACAGAGGCCATCATCCACTTGGCCATAATACTTTGTACAAATGTGGATTATGGATTCGAGTGACTGGAAGTACACCGACCCTATTTCCTGGAAATGTAAGCATAGTATTGAGCCATGGGAACGACAAAAGCAATCACCAGGAGACCTCCAACCACTAGAGTGAACTGCCCTCGCTTCTCGTCCGTCTCCTCCTTGGTCTTGAAGTTGGATTCTCTCTTGTTATCCTTCACCGTCGGACCGCCAGGATCTGGGAGACCATCGATGGCCGCCACTAACCTCTTGGCACTGCTCAAAAGTGCTTCATTGTACTTCTCTTCCGTGGCCAAAACTGCAACAACAATAGACCCCCGAGCATCCTATTGAACATCAGATTCAAATAGAGAGAAACGACACAGATGGAGCCATCTCTTCCACAAGACAACAGACATTGTCCATGTATCTCTATGCCCTGAGAGTTGTGCAACCAACATACCAGATCATATTGGATCAAATTGTACCAAAGCAAATATAATTTCATTCGGTTTCGATAACTTATCCTCTCAAAACAAACAAGAAAAACGGGTTGAACCCATAAAAATAGCTAGAATGTGCTTTTGATTCTCGACTACAGTCCTCTTTCTTTCTTAAATTTTGATCTAACCTATGCCAAATTGATCCAATTTTGAACCGAAACACGCCATGATCACCCCCTAATAGCCATACACTACTAGATTACAACAGTCTACCAACATTCTTGAGAAGAACCTAATCCAGAAACTAACAATTCATGTAAAAATGAACAGACTTTACCTGGAAGATTCTCTGATACTGTAGCATCAAGCACGCTTTCTCCAACAGCTTGCACAAATGCAGGCCCTCCTGTAACAGCGCCTTCCTTTTGGCTAGTTACCAGGACAACAATCCCTTTGTTGTTCCCTTCTTCAACACTTGGGTACCATTTCTCGAGCACTTGGTCTGCATACTCAAAAGCATCAGCTTTGCTCTGCCAGAAACATCTCCAATCATATCAAATCCCTTTGTTGTCCAACCACTACAACATGAATCGAAACGGGGCAAATTTAGAATCCACTCACGGTGAGCTTCCTGACAGTGATGAAGTTGATCTTGAACTTCTTCCTGTACTCCAAATCGGACAAGAGATTTTTGAGATCGGTCTTGGTGACTCTACTGAGCACACCGGCGTCATCCACCACGTAAGAATCCTTGGGCGGGCCTTCATTGATCACATCGAACTCTGAAGCCAAAGCATTGTTGGCCGTCACTGGAGTGAAGCTGAGCGCCAAGGAGAGAGCGAGAGCTGCAATTCCTTGTTGGGCATGAACCAACCAATTCCTGGGTATTGCTAAGGAGGATTTAACAGACGTTAAAGTCTGCTTCTTTGGGCTACTGCTGGTGGAACAAGTGATGATGGGTTTGGGGAGATGGATTGAAGGTGGAGGGAAATAGGGTTTTGGGTTGAAGAAAGGGGAAGAGAGGGAATGAGAGGAAAGGAAAGTTTCCATGGGAGGATGTGAAGAACAGAGCAATGGCGGAGAAAGGCTAGAGGAGACTAGCGATAGTGGCGTCGTTGTTTCTCCTGGGAAGAATCCATTTTCGTTTGATTGGGTGAGTATTTTGTCTATGGCTTGGATTTGGTTTCTGTTTTTTCCGATTGGTTCAGTGGTTGCCAACGTTTCGAGAATGGATAAGGGTTAACGGATTTTTCACGTTTGAAAAAAAATTACAAAACTAGCACTTAGACGGAAAAAATTGACATAAATAGCACTCTTTTTAATGGAACGCACCTTTAAGGTGCGTTTTACTTATAAACCGCACCTTAGAGGTGCGTTCCACGACACGTCAGCAAGCAAACCGCACGAGAAAGGTGCGGTGTGCCTTCTCTGCGGTTCCACGACACGTCAGCAAGCAAACCGCACTAGAAAGGTGTGGTGTGCCTTCTCTGCGGAACAGTCTTCAAGATCGTTGGATGGAGGAGCGATCGGACGATGGACCGCGCGCCAGCAGAGCGATCCGCGCCATGGATCGAGGACCGCAGCTGCAAGGCGCGGTCAGCGCCTCGTGACTCGCAAACCGCCTCGGCAAGCAGCGGTTTTGTGTGGGGCAAAATTTCCCGACCGCCCCTGGGGGGTGCGGTCTGATGGGTATAAATACCCCCTCCCCCCTCTCAATTCTTCACACCACAACCATTCTCCACTCTCTCTCTCTAGAATTATCTCTCTAAACCCTCCCCTCCCAAAAGCCTAGGAAATAGTGGTCTGTTGGTTGCAGCTAAGTCCAATCTGTCATCAGAAAACATTTCTTAGGTTTTTTCCTCAAAACCCGCCGAGCAACGCCGAATCTCTGTCCGAATTTTCCGAAAAAAATGGCCGATTGGTGGCAAGGAGAGGGAGTTTATGTTGATGAATTTCAAGCGGTACGTACTCATTATTCTGGTTGAATTTTTGTTGTTGTTATAAGCTTTTTAATTAATCTATGTACTAACCTCGTTGTTATTTTCTCGTAGGTTGGGGAGAACGTGGATATATACAACCAACGGTATTATCTCGAGCAAGGATCGTTGGATCCAACCGACTTGTACGACCAACCCAACAATCGGTCAAGGGATGTTTACGATCACCCGGTACATACAATTCTTAACCATTTGTCCTTCTTTTATTTTGTTAATGTATTTAGTGGAATATAAAATAAATTTATGTTGAATTTTTAATCGTGTTGGTTGTTTTCAATAATTTAATCGAATACATAGCGCCACTTACTTCGACTCTTTATAAAGAGATGCACGTCTAAGGAAATGGGGTTTTAAGCGATTATCATATCCTCCCATTCTCTGGGAAAATCGGGTATTAAGAGATCCTCGGATCCCCCCTTTTTCTGTGAAAAAGACTGCGTTTCTAAGAAGATGTATACCTCTTCTAAGAGTCTAACGAGTGTTGCTCTGTATTCGATTAAATTATTTAAAACAACCAATACGATTAAATTATTTACCAAACAACCAATATAATTTATTTTTATGTGTACAAAATGAATTTTATTAATTTCAAACATTTGAATATGTATGTTTCTCTTTAAATTATTATTCATTAACAATGACATTTATTTTAGTTAATTTAGTATGTATGTTTTACGATAATATGTATGTATCTTTTTAAATTATTATTCATTTAGAATGTTATTATGTTAATTAATTTATGATGTTTGTTTTATGATAATATGTATGTATCTCTTTAAATTATTATTGATTTAGAATTTTATTATGTTAATTATATGAAATGTCTTTTTATGATAATAAAATTCTGCTTGAAGTTAAATAATTTAATTTAATTAATTTAGTTATAAGAAAAAACCCTTACTAATATATAATAATTAACGTGTAAATTTTCGCTAGGAGGCACAAACAATACTCTGCTATAGGGGTACGACCAATGTGCTCCCATTCCACCCAGCTATCTTGCCCTTTCTCAAAAGGGCACGGTTGGACCCGATTAGGCATTTTAACGGCATCAAAGTTGATCGCCAACTCATCACCGCATTAGTTGAGAGATGGAGAAAGGAGACCCATTGTTTCAACTTTAGAGAAGGAGAGGCCACCATCACGCTAAAGGATGTCGCCATCCTAACCCATCTGCCCATCGACGGCAAACCGGTGTGCGTGAGTGATCATCCCCCGAGGATTGTGACGGTATGCCCGGTTGGGTTCATTTCATCCACAGTGTTTTGGGAGTGAAAGTACCAGTGAAGGGGTGCGTTGATGCGACCGATCGCTTGCCACCAATGAGGAAACACCAAGTCTCAATTACTTGGTTGACGAAGTATTTTAGAGACCATTACGAGAGTCATCCCCTAACCGAGGAAAGTTTGGAGATTGAGAAGGAGAGATATGCTCGTGTCTATCTCATAGGCATGATCAGAGGAGTGTTCTTTTCCAAAAAAATCAAGCAATCTCCTTAGTTGTGGATGGCTTAGGATCATCCTCGGTAGTTGGGAGGAGATGGGGGAGTATAGCTGGGCATCCGCTTGCCTAGTTAATATCTACCACAACATGTGCAATGCGTCTCTAAAAGCTGTGAGGGAGGTCGGCGACGTAATGTTCATCGTCCAATTTTGGGCTTGGGAGCATATGCCATGGATTGCACCGGTCCAACGTCCCGACAGGGATTGGCCAATCGATCATCCCCTAAGATGTGAAGCTTATGGTACAAGGTAAACTTCTCATACCCCATCATGTTTTTCATAACACATTTTCCCTTGTGTTTTAGATTATTGTAGTTTCATTATTGTCTTATTAATAAGGTGGCTCGGACAGCCTGTTTGACAGAAAAAGGGGGATCCGAAGATCGCTTAAAACCCGATTTTCCCAGGAAATGGGAGGATCATGATAATCGCTTAAAACCCCATTTCCTTAGGCATGCATCACTTTAGAAAGAGTCTAACAAGTGCACCACTCTCCTGATTACAAGATATTGTTAGTTGACAAAATTAAACGGCTAATGGAGAACTTACCAATCCACCACAAATTATCAGCAAGCTTCTTCCGCTTGAAATGATGGTTCCAGTTGCCCTTGAAGTGTCGTATGCACCACCTTTGGGACCACTTCAAGGCTGGATCTAAACCTAAGATGGCAGCTCTAATGCCGGCGTGCCAATCAGAGATTATTTTCAGGTTCGTCCTCCTAGTGACGTGGAACTGAATTTGCCGGAAAACCCACCCATAGCTATCAGCATTCTCTCTCTCAACGATGGCGAAGGCTAAAGGAAAGACTTGTCTGTTTGCATCCACCCCACTGGCAATCAGGAGAGTGCCCTTGTACTTGTCGGTAAGGAATGTACCATCCACTTGGATCACAGGGACACAGAAGCCAAAACCATCAATAGATGGCTTGAATGCCCAAAAAATTCGTCTGAAATGGCGCTTGTTACCAGGCTCTGGGGGTTGTGTCTCTTCATCTTGGTATCGAGGGGAGAAAACCGTGCCAGGGTTAGACGCCTCCAATGCCAAAATTAACCTAGGATGGAATGCATATGATTCTTCCCAATCACCAAAGACGGCGGCCAGAGCTTTCTGTTTTTCATGCCACGCCTTCTTATAGTTAATCATATAACCATAACGACTTGCAATGTCAGCGATTATGACTTTCACCTTCAGGTCCGGATCTTGCTCAATTAGATGCTTCATAGCCACAACAACCACCCTGGATTTCAACTGTCGATGGCCTTGGGAAGTTATGGATGACACACGTGTGTGTGTGTTCACCGCACGGGATATGACCCAGTGGCCGTGTCTCTTGCTGTTGATGGCCCGAATCCTAACATTGTACCCCTCGTAATGACTACGGCATCTGACTATGAGCCTTTTAGTGTTGGAATGAGTTGTGTGTCATTCAAAATGCCAAGTCATTGCTTCTGTCTCAATGGCGTGCCGCACCTCCTTCTTCGAGCCAAATTGTTGTCCCTTCATAAACCCAGTGAGTGGACCCCATATTAGGACCTCTGGCGGCTCCATGTCGCCGTCGACCATCCAATTGTAGTCTGGAATATGATTGTAGTAGGGGACTGGTACATGGTCATGAGTCACCTCATAATCATTAGCTGAGTCTGACTCTGGTCCTGAATCATCAACACCTTCAAGAGGGTCGGAGCTAGGGCTGGGAAACGGTGCGGTCTGGTCCAGACCACATACACGGTCTGCGGTCCAGACCGTGAGGGTAGAACAGAGACCATAGACCAGACCATAACCTATACGGTCCAGACCAGACCACGCCTGTGCGGTGCGGTCCGGTACGGTCTGGACCGAGTAGACCATGTTCAACAAAACCTGTATTATCCAGAGCTATCTTCGTAACGAGCTCTTTTGCAAGCCTGAATAATAGACAGAGACATATTAACTATTAAGCATTCTGGCCATATAGTAACAGTTTGAATTGGGGAATGGAGAACAAACATAGGGGAATGGAAGAACAGTCAATCATTATTACCATAATTTTGGTTCTCTGTTGCAGCGACAGCAAACAATGGTGGAGTCAATGGAAGAATTGCAAACGTCGATGGCTATAGAGATAGATAGGTTCGATGGTGGTCGGCGGAGGTCGATGGCGGTCGGCGGAGGTTGATGGCAGTCGCCAGTCGGTGAAGGTCGATGGTGATGGAGCATCCTGAGAAGAGAAGGATGGTGGAGGTCGATGGCTATGGCGGAAGGCGATGGAGACAAACAGCAACCGTGCGATGGAGCTGGATAGTCAACGACGAAGCTCCAAAGTCGGCGGTGGGGCGGATGATGGATAATCAGAGACGGGGAGCTGAGGACGCGAGGCGACGATTGGGGTTGGGGCTGCAAAGTCGGCGAGACGAAGCTCCGTGCTAGCCTGCAAAGTCGACGATTGGGGTTCGCCTTTCCGTTTTCCTTCTCCTTCTCCCTTCTCACTTCGAGGCTCGAGCGAGTTGCGATGGGGAAGCACGGCGCACGCAGCAGCCGAATTGCTGGACAGCGGGAGGATGGGGAAGCACGCAGGCACGCAGCTAGGGCTGTGGTGGGCTGTGGGCAATGAAATTGGGCTTTGGCCCATTTAAATGTGTAGGGCTGGGGCTGTCTAGTTGGGCTCAGCCCATAGTTAATTTTCTCACGGTCTGGACGGTTAACCACGGTCTAGACCAGACCAAACCGTTCCAGACCACAAGTGAAAGAAGCAAACCATGGACCAGACCAAATTGTATTCATGGTCTAACGGTCTGGACCAAACCGTACGGTACGGTCTAAACCGCGGTTTGTCATACGGTTTGGTCTAAATTTCCAGCCCTAGTCGGAGCTGTCTGCACTGACGTTGTTCTCTCCTTCTTCATCGGAGGGCTCACTGACTGGTGCTGGCAGGGCATCCTCCATCTGATCCAGCTCATGAAAGGCACCTTCATCAGCTCCATAATGGTAGTTGTGAAAACTACCGCTGCCTGAGTGGAAGTTGTACTGAGGTTGGTTGGGGAGGTCCGGTTGAACTTCTTCTTCATATGACGGGAAAGATTGATGATGACCTTCACCTTGCTCTTGGTACTGAAAATATGAATGAGGATCATGGTAACTTTGGTAGGGATGATCGCCATAATTCACCTCCACCATGGATACCAGATGTTTGACCGTGTCCAGAATGACCTCCAACGCCTACGACCGGCTCGGTGTAAACGAACATCTCGGCTTTGGAAAGATTGTTGGACCTCATGAATTCGAGCATGGCATCTACCTCATCCTGAGTGGTTATGAGATATTCCTCATGCCACAATGACCCACTTTCTCTGTTTGGATATCGGTACACCATACGATCAACTCTTCTCGTGCCATCCATGCAAGTAACGTTAGTGCACATTTGATGGAGGTCTTCAAGCAGTGGTCTGGTAGCGACCTTTATCTTCTGAAAATTGCCACCGACGTAGGTGACCCCCTTTCCGGTCTCTTTCGTGTAACCATTCCACCGTAAGCCAAGCGTGAACTTTTGGAATGCCATCTGCAAAAAAACCGTAGTTCAGTTAATATCATAAAAATCCAAAATAAAAAATAACAATAAAAAGTAATACAAAATAAACTTACGATTTAACGTTAATCACAAAACTACTAAAGAAATATAGAGCTACAACAGAAAATTGAAAAGGGAGAAGGAGAGGTGTGAAGAGAAGTGGTTTTCCGGGAAGTCTTTTATAGGCAAAATCACTGATGAAAACCGCACCTTAGAGGTGCTGTTTTCGTCTGACATGCAGACCCACGTCTATTATTCTGCATGGCATGTCGAAAATTAATTGACCAAAACCGCACCTTGGGGATGCGGTTTGTATTGCAATACCGCACCTTGGGGATGCGGTTTCGTTTTAGAGAAACAAATCGCATCTCCAAAGTGAGGTTTTGCTAGATCAGGCCAAAACCGCTCCTTGGCCACGCGGTTTCTGTAGGTAAGACCTGAAATCGCTTGGCCAAGATGCGGTTTTGGTCGAGAATTATAAACCGCGCCTTAGAGGTGCGGTTTATGTATAAAACGCACCTCTAAGGTGCGGTCCATAAAAAAGGGTGCTATTAGTGTAATTTTTTTCGGCTGGGTGCTATTTTTGTAATTTTTTTTTAAAAGGTGCTATTTCTTGAAAAATCCCCGGATTCTCATATAGAAAGAGATTGACTGATTGAGGCACTTTGGTCAATCCCTCTTCTTGTCAACCCAGTTTAGCTCATTGAATTGGTCGAGTTAGTGTGTTCAAAGTTAATCCTAATCCTAACATTACTATATGGAGGTTCTTGGCCAGAACCCCCATAATCCCCATGTCCCTGCTCTATGCGCAGTCCATGGAGGGATAGTTTGGTAATTTTTCTCTGCATTTATTGACTGCATACTTGGATCGGGGATAATAAAGGACATATAATTCTATTGGGTGAGTCGCCTATGTGGGTTGTTCCCAATTCCAAGAAGGATACGGATGGGCCAATTAGGTATACATAGTATGAGCCATGCAAAGGAGAAAAGGGTTAACTGGCCCAATTACGTATAAAATATATGTATGAAATTAATATATAAATAATGGTGGCTACTTCGGTGCATTCACTTTTTTTAGTGCATTGAATGCACTCAACTCTAAAGTTGGCCATAGACATCAAATTTTGAATTTTAACTGGTAGCATTAGTATAATACGATGATATAATAAATGATTACAACTAATCAATCAATTTCCTTAACCCCTAAACCTTCAATTTTGAACACCAACCCAAAATACCAAAATGTCACAAGTAATGATTGACATCGTTTTGACATGAATCGCTTATTCAAAATAGCGATTATGAGGCGGGTGCACTGAATGCACAAAAAAAAGTGAGTGCACCGAAGACACCGCCATAAATAATAGTTCAATTAGCAATATAATTCATTAAATACAGATACTAAACGTGTTATACGATTTTAGATGTGTTTAGTACGAGAACCATCAAATGAACAAGAAAAATAATGAAACAAGTTAACAAAAATACGAATACAAAAGGTTTAAACTGATACAATTTATACGACCATATATACTGTATTAAATGAAATATTTAATAAATATTCTTTATTCTTCTCCACCTATCCGGTTCATCCTAAGGCTTACTTCCTCCAATAATGTATATAAAAATACGATGGAGTGTGGAGTACATTGCTGGTAGTTGATGAACATATATGAGCAGTATGCAATATTAATTTCTATGTACTTATATGACCACATTGAGTTAATTAACAATAATTATGGTGTCTTATTATGTTGGTGGTCAGTTTGAGCCTCTAGGGGTTTCGGGTTGTAATAAGTGAACAAATATTTTTACACTTTTGAGAAATTACAAGTTATTCAGACAACAAACAATTACAGATTTAAAAAAAATGTTTATCAAGTTCAAATATTACATCGAGTTTGGTGATTACATCGCAAATTCCATAATCATTGATGGAATGAGACAATTTGCTTTGTTGTGAAGCATCTATGGATGACGAATGTAGCGGAGTTTATGATGAAGATTGTTGATTAAGAGGTGCTAACGATTATTTTTGCAACTATAATGAGGCAAATTCTTTTAGTAAAATTGATATCATTATTTGTTAATTCGCATGACATTGACATATAATCTTAGCACAAATATAATAGAATTGGAGTTACTGAAATTTAAACATTGAAACTTTATTAGTTAGTATCATCATATTGCAACCGGCCAACGGGCCGGGGTACAATCTAGTAATCCGATTGTTTTATTCTGATTGAGTTAGAATATATAAAATATAAAAAAACCTTATATTGTTGATATATTTATAAAGTATTAAATTTCATCTAACATATTAGTAATACATTAATATATAACATCAATATTCACATGTTCAACTTAAAATTCAAAAATAGGATTAGGTGAAGAGAAAAACCTGAAAATAGGCATATTTTGCAAATCAAAGGAAAAAACCTCCAACCCAGTAACCTTGCAGTGGATCGACCAGACAAATGTGTGCGACTCATGTTTTTCACCGGATGAGGATCAAAATGAATCAACCAACATGTTTACTTCCCATAAGCATTTGTAGTCGATAACTTGATAAAAAAAAACTTTGTTAACGAGCAGATATACCCGGTCTATTACCAAAAACCCGAATATAATTGTTTAGTTAACTAATGACCTTGGTTAAAAAAAAAGTTTAATGTGGTGAAATGAGTAGAAAATTTAGTTTTTTCCCCTAAAAATGGTTCAAAGTTAATATTATAAGAGCCGTTATAACATGTGACAAAGCCAAAATAACATGAATCAAAATGTATTAGATCAATGATAGATTGATATATAAAAAGATAGGTTTATAGTACCATTTGTCAAGAGATTTTTTTATATTACGGTCAATTTTAGTGGCATTACACTAAGGACAAATTCCAGAAATAACACTATTTAAAAAAATTTAAAAAACACAATCGAACCTAGAAAATTTCCAAAAATAACACCATTCTTTGAAAATCACACACTGAAAGCGCGATTTACAGAAGAAATCGATTCCACCATGTAGATCGCCTCTCTTCTTCTTCTTCTTCTTCGTTTGTTTCCTCATCCCTCATGAAGTAATCTTCTTTGTTGTTTGGATGAGCTGAACTCTAGATATGATGTGCCGATTTGATTGAATTAATTAAAATACATTGTTTATTTTGATTTGATCTATCCATAATTTACCTTGCAAGTTATCAATTGATGCCGACCGTTGGATTGCTTGTATGTTTTATAAGTATGACCAGGAGAAGATCATCATATGCATGATAGAACACTTAGAATAGAAGGGACTTCAAATTACCAAAAGATGGAAGATGAAGGATCTCTGGATTAGGGTAAAACCCAATGTGGGGATTTAAGTAGACTGGCGTTAAAAAGTATGCAACCCACCCCATGGATAATAGATAGGACAATCATTAAGTGAACTTGCATAATCATTAATATAAAAAAAAAACTTATTAAATGACATGTTTTACTTGGTTTTCATACATATGTTGCCATAATGACTCAGATGTGCTCTATATTCGTTTAAAGGTGCGTTTGATAAACCTTTAAGAGTGTTTCTACACATTTGCTGAATTTTATGTAGTTTTTGGATATTTTCACACAAAGACATCATGGATACTCGTGATGACATGAAAGAGGATAAAAATTATGAATGTTCGAGATCAAATAGGGCCCGATTCAGAGTTATGACGAATGACAAAATGTCCAAACATCAAAGACATGAAGAAAATCGCTATCGAATACTTGAATAGTGTTTGAGTAGAGCTAGATACGACTTTTTGAGTCGTATATATAGCTCTCTTGTTTTGGTCAATTGCCTATTTTTGGATTGAATTTGGGTCATGTGGAGCACTACTTCCATGCTGCTGAGACTTTTGAAACACCCTGAAACGACCCTCAAGGCGCCGTTTTGGCTCCTGGTAGCTGAGCTTGTGCATTATGTGTTTTTGACCCATTACAACAAGGTTTACATTCATTTACGTATATGGGCAGATTTGATTATATGAAGTGTGGGGTGATGAATTCTTGCAGAGTGAGGAAATTCCTCCAGAAGCTCACCAGTAGCTCCTCTTCATCGTCTTCCTCATAACAGAGGAGACGTGACAATGCCATCATTGGCTTGTAACCTTAATTAAGGTTTATAAGAGCTTCATCCTGTGTATATGCTAATTTCTTCACTATGTGATATAGGTTACGAAGTCAAAACTTTCAACTCCCTAACGAAATATTCACCGTCCACTAAATATTTGACGTGCTTTTGCTAAAAAGTTCCAATATTCGGCATTGTACATGTGATAGTATTTATCAAATCTTGGTACATATCTTCAATGGAGGTTTGCGAAAAATATTTATTTCCAAATTGTGGTTTGTAAAGTCTTGAGTTTATGATTTGTTCTTTTGAAGAGATGCCAAGCACAAAGAGTCTTAGTAATAATTATTTCATACAATATACATCAATGGATAATTTTATGTTTAGACTAACCTTCTTCAGCCAAGATGCTCAAATTAAAAAAAAAACAATTTGACATAACACCCAACTTATGAATGCAATATACACCCAAGATATATGATATGCATATAAAAAATCATGCAACGTGAACATAAATCTATAAGTCTATCAATTTAATTGTTGTAAAAATTTCTATACAGACTGTAACCGTTTACATACCCTAAATGTTTTGACATATCGCATAAAATATACTCCTGTTATGCTTAGTTATCTACGTAAAACACAATATAAAATGTCTAAAAAGATAGCATTAGTAAATCACAACCAAAATCCACATCATCCACAAACTATGGAAAGGCAAAATGAAAAACAATTTCAACGAAAAATGTGAAAATAATTTTAATATATAGAAGAAATGAAAAAATGGATTTGGCTAGCAGGGGCGAGGTGCTGGGAGTGCATTTGATCCTTCGGGCGTGATTCTGTTCGCAATTGGTAAAATTTATGCAGGCATTCATGATTCTTTATTGCAGAACTATTAGCGTGGAGGGATGCCTTAGATTGGTGGCTCACACATGGTTTTCTTTTCCTCAAATTGCATGTGAACTCACAACAGGTTATCCGGCGGCTTTTGGCGGGTGACTCTCATCATGTGACGGGTGGTGCAATCCTGAAAAATATTCATCATTTGTCAGGATCCTTTGAGTTTTGTTCTCGCTCGCATGTTACTTGTCGAGTTAATATAGTAGTCCATCTTGTGGCAAAAAATGCTCTCTAATTGGAAGATCGAAGATTAGTCGACTTTCGCCCGTGGGTTTGTTCAGTTCTTTGACTTTGTATCCGTGCTTTCGTACGGTTTTGACTATGTTAAAAAAAACAGATGATAGTGGATGGTTACTTTTCTAGAGGGAAGAAAATTGGGTAAATTGCAAATATGGTCAATTGGATTTGCTAAAACATTTCACGTTTGTCAATAAAATTATTTTATTACATTTATGATTTCTTAAATTAGTTTCGTGGTCCAAATTTAGTAACTAGTCGTAAGTCTCCGTTAACACCGTCAGTTACATGCCTAAGAGAAAGATTTGACTAATTATTAATAATTCAATTTGTTTAACTAATAAAAAATACGAAAAATTTTGGCTAATAAAGTGTTTACCTTTTTTTTTAAATGACAAAAAACGCCGAACTTCTTTGATTTCTCATGGGATTTCTAAAAGAAGGTTGAGCTAACGTGGAGAGTGGTGGCCTGGTGGCTAAAAAAAAAAGTCTCTGCGACGCTTAATGACGTATCAAACTAGTTGGTTAACATTTTGTGAATTTCTAGTATGTGCTCGGTGAATTTCTAGTTGGTTAACATTTTGTTTGCTACTATTATGAATGATCTGTAATTTTTGTTATCAGGGTTTAGGTGTAAGGTATGTGTAGGGTTTCGGTCCGTACCAAACTGTATCAGACAAACTGAAGTTCGGATTGGATCATACCGAACTAAGTAGAATACGGTTTGATTTTTGGACTCATGAATTTTATAATCAATGATGGAAAATGAACCTAATTGACATTTGTACAGGACCGAATACAATATTGACCCGATCCATAATCCTAACACATATTTCAATAATGAATTGCAATTCTCATTAATTTGGTCCACGGACCTGAACGAACCAAACCGTTGCACCGCCCCTAGTTATGTGTTACGATTTTAAATTTTGGCCACTACTTATATAAGTATAAATCATGAATGCCTGTCTAGTATGTGACTATCCAAAATCTCTAATTTAGCTTTTTATTTGTATATGGATTCGTGGCACTTTATTGGATTGACATACGAATTTTATTTTTTTGTTTTCTTTTTTAGAATATTGACATTCTTAAATCAGAAAGAAAGAACGAGAATGCGAAATTTTAAATAACAAAACAATAAAAATTCACATTTATTTAATTTGTCAGCCCATTTTCTCCCCTCAATCTGTTCGTACAACATTCTCTTTGTTCCTCCAAATAATAGTACAGGTGCAGAGAATGCCAGCGGCCGCCTCTCACCTGACACTCTCCCACTCCTCTCTATAAATATTGAGCTGCCTGCTTTGTGCTCGCTACGCACAACACACATTGGCGCAGTAGCGCCCCCGCAAGCCGACAGAGATCGAATCAGCCGTCGAAGAAGAGCGAGGAGGCGCAAGCTGCCAGAGATCGATCAGGCATCGAGTAAGAGCAAGGTTTCATCCCGCAAGCGGCCAGAGAGAGATCGATCGATCAGCCATCGACGAAGCAAGGTGTCAATTTCTCTCTCCCTCTCTCTATCTCTCTCCGTTATAGTTGGTAGCTAGCGATCTCCATTACAGTAGCTAGAAATCGACGAAGCATTGAGTAGTGATGCATCGTTTTTAACTTGTGGCAGCCGAACTAGAACAATAATAGTGGTGCTTCAAGCGATTTGGAGTTTGAGTTGGTGCTTCATGGGGTGGAAATTGTGTTTGGGTATCTCTCTCCGTTATAGTTGGTAGCTAGCGATCTCCATTATAGTAGCTAGAAATCGACGAAGCATTGAGTAGTGATGCATCGTTTTTAACTTGTGGCAGCCGAACTAGAACAATAATAGTGGTGCTTCAAGCGATTTGGAGTTTGAGTTGGTGCTTCATGGGGTGGAAATTGTGTTTGGGCTGCTTTGATTTGGCATCTCTGTGGCGATTCTCGTCCTGACCTACGAGGGGTTTCATAAAAACAAGGCACATTCCCATCTCATCGGTCTTTCATTCATTCCGGCAGGGGTGACATTCGGTCACTTCGTTTTGAGTAGCATTTATGTTGTTTATTGCGGGAAGGGATAGCAAAAAGAGAAGATGGCGTTTTATGCCAAGGAATGGTATACAAAGACGATCTTCCAGCTGCTTGGATTCGCCTTCGGGGCTGTTACAAATGAATTGATTGTGAGGGTCGAGCTTTTGACACCAGCCGTTGTCGCTTTTGACACCAGCCGATCTTCTAAAAGCTTTTGGTATCCATGGGGATTGATCCTTGCCTTGGTGGTGATGGTGAATAGGAGAAACATCTTCTGATAGGCCAACCCCGAATGTGGTTGATATGTCACCACCAAGGCAAGGATCAATCCCCATGGATACCAAAAGCTTTTGGAAGATCGGCTGGTGTCAAAAGCGACAACGGCTGGTGTCAAAAGCTCGACCCTCACAATCAATTCATTTGTAACAGCCCCGAAGGCGAATCCAAGCAGCTGTAAGATCGTCTTCGTAAACCATTCTTTGGCATAAAACGCCATCTTCTCCTTTTGCCATCCCTTCCCGCAATAAACAACATAAATGCTACTCAAAACGAAGTGACCGAATGTCACCCCTGCCGGAATGAATGCAAGACCGATGGAAATGTGCCCTGTTTTTATGAAACCCCTCGTAGGTCAGGACGAGAATCGCCACAGAGATGCCAAATCAAAACAGCCAAAAGAAAATTTCCACCCCATGAAGCACCAACCAACTCAAACTCCAAATCGCTTGAAGCACCACTATCATTGTTCTAGTTCGGCTGCCACAAGTTAAAAACGATGCATCACTACTCAATTACTCAATGCTTCGTCGAGTTCTAGCTACTGTAATGGAGATCGCTAGCTACGAACTATAACGGAGAGAGAGAGAGAGAGAGAGAGAGAGAGAGAGAGGGAGGAAGGGAGAGAGAGAAATTAACACCTTGCTTCGTCGATGGCTGATCGATCAATCTCTCTCTGGCCGTTTGCGGGATGAAACCTTGCTCTTACTCAATGCCTGATCGATCTCTGGCAGCTTGTGCCTCCTCGCTCTTCCTCGACGGCTGAATCGATCTCTGTCGGCTTGCGGGGGCGCTACTGCGCCATTGTGTGTTGTGCGTAGCGAGCACAAGGCAGGCAGCTCAATATTTATAGTGAGGAGAGGAGTGGGAGAGTGTCAGGTGAGAGGCGGCAGCTGGCATTCTCTGCACCTGTACTATTATTTGGAGGAACAAAGAGAATGTTGTACGAACGAATTGAGGGGAGAAAATAGGCTGACAAATTAAAGAAATGTGAATTTTTATTGTTTTGTTATTTAAAATTTCGCATTCTCGTTCTTTCTTTCTGATTTAAGAATGTCAATATTCTAAAAAAGAAAACAAAAAAATAAAATTCATATGTCAATCCAATAAAGTGCCACGAATCCATATACAAATAAAAAGCTAAATTAGAGATTTTGGATAGTCACACACTAGACAGGCATTCATGATTTATACTATATAAGTACTATGATTTATTCATGATAAACACTAGATCATCATACACAAACAAACAAAATCAAATCCAGATCCATGGCAACAATAATCACAATAATATACCATTCACAAACTCTTATCAGTTTCCAAATCAATCAAAAATCCTTTTCTAATTAAATTACGAGCAGTAGCAGTGTCATTGTCATTGTCCATAATCTATCCAAAATCGCAAGCAGTGGCCGTGATTTATAGAAGCCAAAATTGACAATTTATGTTCTTATTAGATTAGGCAGAAACAAAATCCTTGAATTTTAAAACTTTAAACCAAGTATACCCAAAACCGCATATATCATCAAAGCACACAGATGCATGGTTTTTGCTTTTGTTAAAAACTAGTCTGTTTTTAGACTTTAGCCCATCAGATCCAAAACCCAATATTTGCCGATACCAAACCCAGGTTAGCAGACAATGAAAAATCACCATTAAAGCCTAAAACACCAAGACCATTTTCCATAAATTCGGATTTACAAATTAAATTGTTTATAGTTTAATCTTCTTAGTTAATTAAACCAATCAAAGTTCAGAGACCTAAAACCGTCCTTCCCCAAGCCCTGCATCAAATAAAACAGGCAGATTAGAAACCAAAAACTGAGATATTATCAAATAAAAAAAAGGAAAAATCCTCACCAAATCTTTAAGTCGTCATCGTCGGAGTAGCCTCTGCTACCGTCTCCGTCAACTACTTTTCCCAGATCTGGACTCACTTCAGATCAGCAAAAATAAGAAAAGAACATTCAGCGTAGATCTAAACCGACGAAAGCAAAATATAGAAGAAAAAAAAACAAAAAATCCGTTGAGCCTACCGCGGTTTGCCGTCGGTTTCGAGGTCGCCCTCGTCGGCGACAAAGCCCATAGTCGCCGCCGTCTGTCGTCTCTTCTCCTCCCATCGAAATCCAGAAGAAAACCCAGAAATAAAAAAAGGTCATAATACGAAAAACAACAAAGCAAAAATTAAAAAAAAAACTCCAAGCTTACCCCATTTCAGTCGGCGGCAAGGCTCGCTATCCCTACCGACGAGGTCCGAGTGCTGTCGATCTCACTTCCCCCTCGCAAATAACCAAAAAACCAGAAAAATTAGTAGAGTCCAAATAATAATCAGAGAAATAGAGATAAAAAGGTTGTGCATGTCGCCGTTTTTACCTGAATCGGAGTTCCCCGGGTCGGATTTACTTGAACCCAGTCGTCGGAGGGAGTACGATAGCACCGTCGTTTTTTTCAGACCTCTCGTCCTCTGAGAGAGAGGAAGAACGGAGATGCAAGACGAAAGAATGTTCTTCTTCATATTTTGATCGGTCTCTGGTGGCGGCTAGAGGATTAGTGTCAAAGCATAGGAAATGAGAAAGAGTAGAGGAAGAAGGAAAGGGCGGCGTTGGTTTGGGGGATTAGGGTTTTCTGTTTCTGGGATGAAGTAGAAGAAAATAGAGACGAGAGATGGACAGGGAGAGTGGGTTGAGAAGGCGGAGAGAGGATGGCGGCGGCGGTGTTTGATGATGGTAGGGTTTTGGAGAACGAATCATGTCAGTAACTTTATAGTTGGCTCACGATGGGTGCATAATCTTATCAATAACCAAATCTGGACCTTTCATTTAGAAAATTCAGATCTAATGATTGAGAATTAAAGACAATTTTTATTTTCCCTAGCTTTTTTAATCGGCTCATATCTTTTTCGTTTTAACTCGAATTTTAAATTTTTTTGCACAGATGGAACGAGTTCATCTTGCTCTACAAAATGAGATTAATTTTCAATATTTTTTTAGAAAAAAAAAATTCTGGCCTCTCGATACCAACTGCATACCATATGGTATTTTCTTCGTTTTTAATTCATTTTTGAAAACGTTTGCACAGAAGGGACGAGTTCATCATGATCCATTGGATCTACAAATTTATGGGTGAAGAAATTACATGACCAAAAAATACCACACAATATCATACAATACCACCCTAGTACGGGGTGGTATATTATGGTATTTTCTTTGTTTTTAATTCTTTTTTGAAAACGTTTGCACAGAAGGGACGAGTTCATCGTGATCTATTGGATCTACAAATTTCTGGGTGAACAAATTACATGACAAAAAAATACCACACAATACCATACAATACCACCCTGGTACGGGGTGGTATATTATGGTACACAATGATAAAAGTCGTAAACGACAGTTAATATACTTCTACTATCATGTATTCAACTATCCTACAGTCTTGGTTTGTTCATACCACCATGGTACGCTTTTCAAACCATAGGTATGTTCTTATTTCAATACCAGTTAATACCATATGGTATAGACTGGTAAAAAATGGCTCAATTTTTTTTGTTCGAAAAATATATCAAAGTGGATATCATTTTGAAGAACATAATTAATCTGATCTAACTGTGGAAAAAAAATTAAATTTCGACTTAAAACGAGTGAGAAATCGTCCGTCAAAGATTAAGAAGGAAAAAATTAAAGACTTTCCAGGAAAGAAGTATGCCAGCGGCGGATCCGGGGGAGGGCCACACTAGGCCCGGGCCCAGCCCTCCCCTGGCATAGAATGTATATAGCTTATAATTTCAGCTCTCACTAATTTGGGCCCAGCCTTTTCTTCCTAAATCCAAAACTTAAAACCAAAATCAAATTCCCAAAAGCCCTTTCTCACCTTCTCGCGAGGCCAAAAAATTAAAGAGAAAAGATCCATTCCTTCTCCGCAAGCACTCCGCCCGCCCTTTTCCCCAATCCTCACTCCGGGTCTCTGGCGAAATCGCTGTTGCGGCGCTGCACGGCCTCACGACCAGTAGCCCAGCCTTATTTTGCGTTTTAAGGAATTCTATTATTTGTTGGGATTAGGAAAGGGACCGGGATCTGTTGGCGTTGGCCGTTGGGTCATGGGTAGAGAATAAAGATTTTCAATTTTGTGCTTTTGTATTATATATATATATATATATAATTTCTGTTTGTTGTTTTGTTTAACTGCATTAACCTATTGCTTTGCGAGAAAGAACTGCATTAACCCAATGTTTGTTCTGATTTCAATTAATAAAGAACTTAGCTTTTAGAATTGATAGGTTTGTTGTGCTAGTTGTTTGTTGTGCTATTTGGAGTACTCGAATTAGAATTAGGAAGTTATTATGATGAATTTTGTATGAATGAAGACTCAATTATTGATAAATTTGCTAAATTAAAAGATGGTAGTATATAATTGACATTTTATTGAAAATTATTGTTATCATGACGCTACGCGACTAATTTTTTGTTCAAATGCGGCCCAGTGCTCTACTATATCCTGGATCCGCCGCTGGGTATGCTGATGTCATGCTGATGTGGGCTGGTTACTCATGGTTACTCACTATAAGGGGAACAGATCAGGTCAGTAACCTTATGGTGAGTAACCATGAGTAACCCGTCCACATCATCATGACATCAACATCCCTCTCTCTCCTGGAAAGCCTTTAATTTTCCACTCCTTAATCTTTGACGGACGATTTCTCACTCATTTTAAGTCAAAATTTAATTTTTTTGCCCAGTTTGATCATATTAATTGTGCTCTTCAAAATGATATCCACTTTGATATATTTGTCAAACAAAAAAATTGAGCCATATTTTACCAGTCTATACCATATGGTATTGACTGGTATTGAAATAAGAGCATACCTATGATTTGAAAAGCGTACCATGGTGGTATGAACAAACCAAGACTATAGGATGGTTGGATACATGATAGTATAAGTATACAGTATACTAACTGTCATTTACGACTTTTAACATTACGTACCACAAGATACCACCCTGTACCAGGGTGGTATTGTATGGTATTGTGTAGTATTTTTTGGTTCTGTAATTTGTTCACCCATAAATTTGTAGAGCCAATAGATCATGATGAACTCGTCCCTTCTGTGCAAACGTTTTCAAAAACGAATTAAAAATGAAGAAAATATCATATGGTATGCAGTTGGTACGGAGAGGCCAGAATTTCTTTTTCAACAAATATTGAAAATTGATCTCATTTTGTAGAGCACGATGAACTCGTTCCATCTGTGCAAAACAAAAAAAATCTGAGTTAAAACGAAAAATATATGAGTCGATTAAGAAAGCTAGGGAAAATAAAATTGGTCTTTAATTCTCCATCCTAAGGTCTGAATTTTCTAAATGAAGGGTCCAGATTTAGTTATTGATGGGTGCATAACCCATGGTTATACACCCTATCTTGAGCCAGGATTTTGCTTATCTGGAAGGGAAGAGAGAAAGGCGAGAGAGGTTGAGAGAACGAGAGAGAGAAAGGCTCAGCGGCCGCCGCTTAGGGTTAGACTAGGTTAGGGTTTTATTTTTCGTTTATATATCGATCCAAAAGACTCCTTTGTCCTTAGGGTTTCGCTAAAATTACATGCCTTGCCACCGCGTTCTTGAGAAATTACCAAGATACCCCCCCCTCCCGCCCCCCTTCGCTGCACAAAAACGAGAAATAAAAAAAACTCCACCAGGTTTTGAACCCGGGTCATTGATTGGATGTGTCTGATGGCATGCGCTTTAGCTAGTGGGCTAGACAGAAATCATTCATTAGTCAATCCTATCCATCAGGTTATATTATATCCTTAATACGATATTTTAATTGCAAAAG